CATTTAAGGACTGCAAATTTTATGTTCTTTATTTTTTTTAAATATCAAAAATATTCGTAGTATTATTTGACCTAATAGATGCGTTAGAATTCTAATAATACCTAGCAATTTGTTGATGCAGATAAAAGTAATAAATGAGCATGTTCGTCCCTTCGAAGCCAAATTACAACTGAACGCTTGATTACGTTGTAGGGATTATAATTGTTTCTTATTAACAAAAAAAAAACAAAAAAAGAGGGTGAGTCAGACCTGCGCGATAAACATATTACGTTAAGCGTGACGAATTTCTTAATTATATATTTGTTATTTATTATTTTATTAAAAATCAAATAATGTAATTTCGATTATAGTTTCTAAAGACGTTTTGAAAATAAAAACTTAAATAAGAAACCTTTTTCTAAATAGGTAATATTTTTGTTGAAAATATTTAACATAATAATTATAGATATATACAGTGTGACCCAATTGTTTGCGACTCAACTCTGTAAAATCTTTATTTATTGTGCGATTTTAACCGGAGTTGTTTTAAAGTGTAGATTTTGATAAACTATATTTTTGGAGCAAATAACGCCATATTTGTACAAAATACAAGGCCTGCCATGTCAGATTTTAAGAGTAAATTTTTAAGAATTTATATTGGCGATTTTTTTAAACAAAATCTAAGCACGGTACTGGATTCACCACCCCTCAAAACGACCCTATATTAAATTTAATTGAAAAATTTTAAGTAGAAAAATGCACAATAATAACTACAAAATTTTATTCTGTCAAGTTATCCATGAAAAAACATTGAAATAAAATTAAACTAATAGTAACATGGTACTATTACTTGCTTGGATTTTGTTTAAAAAATCGCTAATATGAATTATTAAAAATTTACTCTAAAAAACTGACATAGTAGGCCTTGCATTTTGTACTAATATGGCGTATTTTGCTCCAAAAATACAGTTTACCAAGATCTACACTTTAAGACAAATCCGGTTAAGATCGCACAATAAATAAAGATTTTACAGGGGTGAGTCGCAAACAAATGGGCCACACTGTAAATATATATATTGATTTTAAACAACAAAAAACTATTTAAATTTAGTTAAAAAAACTTAAAAATTAGCTAATGAATACCTAGGTACCTACTTTTATTTTAATCAAAAAATTTAAAAATAATAAATTGGTACTTGCCAAATTTATTGATGAGTTCTGGTTAAATTCGATTATCCTTATATGGTTGTCTTATTTCTTAATATCCATTGGCTTAATAGCTATGGCTTTAACATGTTGGTCCTAGAAAAAAAATACAATTAGACCATTTAAGGACTGCAAATTTTATGTTCTTTATTTTTTTTAAATATCAAAAATATTCGTAGTATTATATTTGACCTAATAGATGCGTTAGAATTCTAATAATACCTAGCAATTTGTTGATGTAGATAAAAGTAATAAATGAGCATGTTCGTCCCATCGAAGCCAAATTACAACTGAACGCTTGATTACGTTGTAGGGATTATAATTGTTTCTTATTAACAAAAAAAAAACAAAAAAAGAGGGTGAGTCAGACCTGCGCGATAAACATATTACGTTAAGCGTGACGAATTTCTTAATTATCGGCCATTTCAAGCGGATGGACGGGACAAATCACAAAACTGTTTTTATAAAAAAAATTGTAGGTAATTTATTATATATTATTTTTGCATCAAAATTGTCAAATATATTCTTCTATTATTAGGCTATACATTAAATTAAAAAAATTGCAAGAAATATTTTATAAAAGTAGAGATAATTTCAATAATTGACAGGGGTGGACGGGACAAGATAAATCTTTTTTTTGTCCCGTCCACACCTTTTAATTATTAAAATTATATCTACTTTCATAAAATATTTCTTGCGTTTTTTTTTATTTAATGTATAACCTAATAAAAGAAGAATATTTTTGACAATTTTGATGCCAAAATATTATATAATAAATAATCTACAATTTTTTTTATAAAAACAGTTTTGTAATTCGTGCGTTTCGCGCGCTTGAAATGGCCGTTATATATTTGTTATTTATTATTTTATTAATAATCAAATAATGTAATTTCGATTATAGTTTCCAAAAATTACGCACCATTTTGAGTAATTAGGGTTTAAAAATTGTGTTATTTTCGACGTTTTGAAAATAAAATATTAAATAAGAAACTGTTTTATCCTTATCGGTTGATATTTTTGTTGAAAATATTTAACACAAAAATTATAGATATTAAACTAAAAATTACAAAAATCTAAACAAAATTTTGACCTATGACCCCTTACAAAAACGAACTGATTTTTAAAAAAGAACAAGTTTCATCTCAAAATCAACAAAAAACTATTTAAATTTTCTAAAAGTTAAAATCAAAGGCGATTTTATAAATAAAAGTGGACCTAAAAATTTTGAAGAAATTTAGTTAAAAAAACTTAAAAATTAGCAAATATTTATTTAAAAAATCCCTAATTTCGATGCCTTTATAAAGCTTGTGGGGAACAAACCCGACAGTTGGCAAGAGTGGTCCCCAAGAAACAAAAAGTTAGCAGCACTGGACAGAAATGTCAATCATAGATAATAGATAATCATAAATAAGAGTAGCGAGCGGTACCCAATTTTTACAATTTATAGTTGGGGGATCCCCGAGTAGCACTGAAAACGATGCGTTTACAGCCTGATTTATAGATTCCCTTCCTTCCTTCCTCCTGTAAAAGATGAACAATACGAAAACCGTAGTGCTGTTTATAGATTCCCGTACGGGATTCTATAATTAAATTGAGAAAATACTGTAATGTGCATCTCAAGAGTTGGCAACCCTGGCGGCACGTCAGTGTATGACGAATTTCATCCATTACGTCACTAGCGTGCCCGTAAAAACTAAATTGCAGGCACCCTAACGTGCACGTAGTCACTGCAGCGCATGCGTTTTTAATTTGACAGATGACCTATCCTCAAATTCCGAGACCTTTTTGGATATAGATCTAGATTGTGCTACTGTACTTGAATTGATAATATACATTATTGCATTATATGGGTGAATCTGATATTTAATAAAACTAAATGAGTTGACCTACACAGATATACAGTTCATATTCCAGATTTTTAACCGCAATTAATTATTTTTTACAATGTTTTAAAAGTCTTAAAAAACCTATCCTCCGTGACTGTTAGTCTTTCTAGGTTTACCTAGATGTTTTCAAATATCTGAGGTAGTAACAGCATACTAAAAATATCAGTTCACAAAGTAAATTAAACACATCCAAAGCAATCGAATCAAATATAAAATATTATTAAAAATTAAAAGAAATAATTTTTATAACCAATTATTTAGGTGTTACAAAAATTGATTCTATCCTCCGTGAATTTGTTTTTGCTTTATATTTTATGCAACGGATGGCGCTTTAATCATTTTAAATAAGCAAAAACCTCTGTTTTCGACATTATATATGCATGTGATACCTAAAGGTCGGTTAGAATTTACCACCACCGTGAAGTGTAATATCTCAGTAAGTAGATTTTTTTTATAAATATTTTATACCTATATGCACAATTGAATTTTTAAAAAATATTAATGTGTCAAAAGATACAATAACTTATTTCAAATAGGTATACAAAGGGATGTTTAAAAAAAAAACATACGAAATCCTAACCTCCGTGAAGCTATCTTCAGTGAAGCGTATGATTTCTTAAAATTCTTGCATTAGTGTTATTTACTAGACCTGGTGGCTTCCCAAAAACCCCATTGTAGAGTGACAGTGAAACTACAAAAAATAATAAATAATCATTTTCACTTGGGGGACATCTCAATATATTCATCCATATACATGTTTTAAATTTATTTTCCCCCAAAAAGTGTTAATTTTATTTATTTTTTCTTTTAAGGCACTTTTGCACAAAAGGTATATTTCCGAAATTTTGGTAGTTTTCCCAAGTGTACATTGCATTTTTTTATTTTCACTATGGATACCTTCGACCCAAATCCCCGAAAAACATCACCCACCCCTCGTACACGCCACAAAACGCACCCGACACCAAAAACGTACGTCTTTGATCGCCCCACTGGCAACAGCGCATGCGCGCGATGACGCACGCGATTCGAATCCCATTCCGTAGCCGTCGGGCGCAGTGTTGCCACCACTATTACTTTAGTAATAGATCTGTTACTTTCAGCGAAAATATATTACCCTATTACGAAACGATGTAAATCTATTACTTTTGTTTCCTGGTAGGAATTATTTTTTTAAATATTCTATTGAGGTCCTGCCATAATATGGCATATTTCACTATCTGAAGCGAGTTTAGTAATTTTGAAACAAAAATTTCTGAACGCACTCGCCAAGTGTTATTTTTCTGTGCTGCCATCTGTTAATAAGATGAGTGCACTCTTGCGTGCATTGTTGCCACTGGCAACTTGTTAGACACACCACAAAAAATATTGTCGCAGCGCATCAAAAGTTTTGATTCAAAGCTATTGTAGAATTAATTTTTTGTTTTGTTTTTATAATATAAATAATTTAAATCTTGTTATATATTTTAATATTTAATTAAAATAAACTTATTGTTTATCCAAAATTTAAGATTTTGTTAATATTGGGTAGTTTTATTCCCTTTGGCAATTTGATTTATTTATATAAAATTATTGTACATTTTGATTTTATCTTACATGTGATTTCGTACATTGTACGTACATATAATTATCGTACAAAAAGGATAATTATTTATTTTATGGAAAATTATCGTACGTCTGGCAACACTGCTTGAGTATTTGTACTTAAATAATTTGTGTTTATAAAGTTTTTACTAAAATTATTATTAAAATTATTTATTCTAAATGCAACGGTAAAACGTCAAAGAATCAAAAAAATTTGATTCAAAATAGTCTAGTACCCATATATCTATCACTATATCACAGTGATAAATATATGCTATTACCTTTAATCCCAAATCTATTACATTTTGACGCATGCGTCTGTTACGAAAAAAAATTTATAGGTAGCAACACTGGTCGGGCGCCGAGAAACGACCGTCAGAAAACAAAAGCGCGCCGCCACACACGAACCCGACCCATCACGCCGCACCTGCACTTACGAGAAGAGAAAACAACAACAAAAAACCGATGCAGTGACCAGTGATAACAGTGATACAAGCAACAAAACAAATCATCACCATGGCGACGGAACGCGAAGTCGGGGTGGGCGATTTTGTCTTGATGGACAAAATTGACCTCGACAGCTTCATGCAGAATTTGGAACACAGGTAACGCACTTTTACATCATTCACATCACAAATAATGTCGAAAATCAACATTCCACCGCGGCTTTCCTTGACAATTGTCAAAATAACAACCCCGTAACCATGGCACCAAGTTACCATGGTTACGGGGTGGTTATTTTGACAGTTGTCAAATAAAAACAATGGTGGACGTAATTTATAAATAAAGAATAATTTCACTCTATAGGGTGTTAAAATAGCATTTTGGAGACAAAATATTTACTTAATAAATCATTATTAGACAAATATTATTCTTGATGAGTCAAGTTTAGTTAAAACTAAAACCGCAGATATTTTTTTGTATGTAGAATCTATTTTTAATGTACCTATTTAAACACATGTGGCATATGGACACTCCCTTATTAACCTCTTGAAAACAAACAAATAAATAACCAAAACACTTAATTTTATTACCTACTTTATCATTAAAACACTCCATAGTTTTTATCTATTAAATGGCAAAATAAATTACATAAGATCAATATGATTAAGGTGGGTCTTTTAAGGCATAGGTATTAACCTAAATAAATTTAACAAATTTTCATTAACATTTTTGTCGCGTACCAACACTAATAACGGTTTTTCAACGCACAAACACTTAAATGTAATTAGGGAGACAGTTTTTTCTACTTAACAACATTTTTATAGTTAACAGAGAAGAAAATGACTTATTGCACTTAAATCATTGACGTTTGTTAAATGTGACAGTTATTAAAACATCAGCCTTCTTTATAAAGATTTTTTCCATGGCTATGCATTATTTATTGCTGTATAAAGTCCCGATTTCAATGCACTTTAAGGCAATAAATTAATTTTTTATGTCTGGAATGTTTCTATTTCCTTTTTTCAGCGATAAATGGGATAAGGTTCGCCAAAAATAGCAATGACGCAATTATCCTAGATAACTTTTTAAATTCATTAACAAATTATCATTTTTTCGTTGTATTGTATAGTAGGTATAGTATAAACAATATTTTTCTTGTTTATTTTTTAACGCGTTGACCTTATTAATATTCAAAATGATTTTTTCCGAGGTGATATCATGGGTAATTATGACTCATCGCAGTATACGAAATTCTTTCAAGTAAATGGGTGACACATCTCTTAGTTAAATTCTAAATACCACACAATTGATAAGATTTAAAATATGGGTCATTTTTACTATTTTTACTTTAGAATTATTTTATAATCAGTAAAAAATTACAAACTTTTATCATTTATTTATTTTTTCTCAAAAATTGTGCTGTATCTACGGATCAAGCTTTTTGAAAACATTTATTGAATGTGGCACCATTTTCGGAACACCCTGTATACGTAATCCTTTAATTGGGCCTTGGGAATGCGCAAATAAATAAATAAATCAATAATACATTTTACAAGATTTTCACAAACTTTTTATTTTTATACATTACCTACTGTTTTTTGCTGGTGCCAAAATATAAAAATATTCATGCGATTTTCAATTAAATTGCACTTAAAACCTTGTGAAATTGCGATACAAAATGCATGCCAATTGTCCCTGATTGTATAATAACTTTCACCGCAAATATTTTTATCTATTAGTAGTATATTGCTGGTTTTTATGTAATTTAAATTAAATCACCGGGTATAAATATACCATTTGCATGAATATTAATAGGTATTTTACATTTTTAAATAAAATTTGGATACGTATATAACAAATACCTACCTACATATATATTTACTGAATACAGATAGTATTTTTTATCTTATCTACATATATATTTACTGAATACAGATAGTATTTTTTATCTTATCTATGTATTTTTTTGTCTATAGGTAATTGAATTTTATCGACACGAATTTGTTTCTACAAAACCTTAAAACATAAAAACCCAATTTAAAAAACTAATAATCGAGCAATTAAATAAAAAATACAGTTTCAATTAATTAATGTAATTACTATTAATATCGTTAACTTTTGAAACATTTAATTAGCAAAAAGTAGATCAATTGTGGATAAATTTTTGCATTTAATATTGAGAGTAACTTCAAGCTTGAAAAAATCGTTTAAATATTCAGTTGTTAAGGCAATTTCCCATGATTTTATCGAATGCACTTGGGTATTATAGTGTGAGAATATTGCGTTGCCATGTAAACAAAAGATAAAGGGTGCGTGAACTTTGAAGGTCACAACTGTCAAAATAATAACCTTTAAATGACCTTTATATCGGTTTATCAACTTTTATTTTACATGAAAAAATGCGATTTTATAATAAAAATCAATCTGATTGTGTCTTGAAAATGGCTTATTGTTAACTCAATCATAAAAAATAATAGAACACTCTTATTTTGTAGGGAACATATTTATTTTGCATAAACAATCTAAATTTGCTTTAAAACTTCTAACTAGGTAACTAAAAATAATTAAATAAAGTAATTTTTGTATTATTATTATATGGAACACATTTATTTTGTTATAGAACACTTTAATCATGAATGAAAATGTGATTTTACGATAGAAACACTCCCATTTTGATTTTAAAATGGCATAAAAACTGCAAGAACATATTTAATGGAACACATTTATTTTTGACATGGAACACTTTTATTGTGACTTTTAGTTTTATAATTGAAATCAATTTATTTAGTTAAAAATTGCCTATTGTTGATTAAAACCTAATAAATATAGTAGAACACACTTATTTTCTATGTAACATATTTATTTTGTCATAGAACACATTTATTTTGTTATAGAACACTTTAATCATTAGAGAAACTGTGATTTTATGATATAAACACTTTAGAAGAACACTTATTTATAATGAAACACATTTATTTTTCTCATAAAACACTTATTATGACTTTTAGTTTTATGATTGAAAACAAAAACGAACTATTATTGATTAAAACATAATAAATAGAGTGGAACACACTTATTTTCTACGGAACATATTTATTTTGTCATAGAACATATTTATTTTGCTATGGAACACTTTTATCATGAATATAACTGTAATTTTATGATAATAAACAATTTTATTTTGATTTAAAAATTGCATAAAAACTACAAAAACACATATTTTTAATGGAAAACATTTATTTTTGTTATAGAACACTTTTATCTTAACTTTTAGTTGTATAATTAAAAACAATTTTTTTAGCTAAAAATGGCTTATTGTTGATTAAAACTTAATACATAGAGTGGAACCACTTATTTTCTATGGAACATAATTATTTTGTCATGGAACACATTTATTATGCTATAGAACACTTTTATCATGAATGAAAATGTAATTTTTTGATAAAAAAACAATTTAATTTTAATTTTAAAATGGCATTAAAACTACAAGAACACTTATTTTTAATGGAACACATTCATTTTTTTCAAATAACACTTTTATCATGATTGAAAACAATTTAATTACCTAAAAATGGTCTATTGTTAATTAAAACCTAATAAATAGAGTAGAACACATTTATTTTCTATGGAACATATTTATTTTGCCACAGAACACATTTATTTTGCTATAGAACACTTTTATCATAAATTAAAATGTGATTTTATGATAAAAACTATTTTAATTTTAATTAACATTTATTTTTGACATGAAACACTTAATTAATCATAATTGTTTTAATGAAAATAATATTGTTCATCTGAAAATGGCTTATTGTTGAATAAAACAGAAATAAAGTGCAAAACACTTATTTTATAAAAAAAACATTTATTTTGCCATAGAACACATTTATTTTGTTATAGAACACTTTAATTATGACTAAAAATGTAATTTTATGATTAAAAAATACTCTTATTTTGATTTTAAAATGTCATAAAAACTAGAACATTCTTTATGGAACATATTTATTTTGATTTAGAACACATTTATTTTGCTATAGAACACTTTTATCATGAATGAAAATGTAATTTTATAGTTAGAAACAATTTTATTTTGATTTTAAACACACATTTTATATGGAACATCTTTATTTTTTATGGAACACATTTATTATGTTATGAATCATCATAAATTAAAATGGCATAAAAACACTTTTTTAAATGGAACAAATTTATTTTTGTCTAAAAAACTTTTATCACGACTAACCTACACTTGATTTTATGATTAAAAATATTGTTTAGCTTATTTTATATGGAACATATTTATTTTGCCATAAATCACGTTTATCATATTTAAAAATGTGATTTTTTTCATAAAAACAATCTTATTTTGGCTTTATGTTGACACAATTATAAAAAACATTTTTAATTTATATGGAACACATTTATTTTGACACAGCACACTTTCATCATATCCTCAAAATTGTATATTTTTTATTTTAGATTTAAAAATGGTTTTATTTATACCTATATCGGGGAAGTATGTGTATCAGTGAACCCCTACAGAACAATGAATATATACGATAAGGCCCACATTAATAAATATAAAGGTAAATACACGAACAAACAATTATAGCAACTTGATTATATATTTTTTTCAGACAGAGAATTATTCGAGAATGTCCCACACATTTTCGCCGTCGCTGATGCTTCCCATAAAATAATGAAACAACAGGGACGTGATACATGTATTGTTATAAGTGGCGAGTCCGGATCTGGCAAAACAGAGGCGTCTAAAATTATTATGAAGTACATTGCTGCTGTGACGAACCAAGGTATATTTTTGGGGATTTATTTTTTGATGTTATAGTAAAAATTTTATGATTTTACAGATTTATCGTATTTTAAAACCAAAGAAAAGATAGGTTCGTTATTATTAGCACTTAAGTGTTACTGTTTGGCACTGTTTATTATAACTGCTGATTTTTGCTATATTAACATTTTTTTGTTGTTTTGTCATTTTTAAATGCAGGGCTCCCACACCTCGTAAAACTCATAAAATTCCTAAAATTTGGCTTAAATCTTGAAAACTCCTAAAATTCTCCTTAAATGGCATTCAATTTCCTAAAAATCCTAAAAATTAAATTTAAATAGGCCAACCTGACTTGTGTTTAATTAAGGTAGTGCTAAAAAAATTTTTCTTAAAAAACAACAAAAAAACTTCTACAAAATTGTCATTTTTAGCGATATTTCGTTTTTTAGTCAAAAATATACCGCGTTATTATATATCAAACAAAAGGATTTTTAATTTTCTTTTAAATGACAGCTAAAATATTAAACAATCTAAAGAATGTTTTGCTGTATTTTGCAAACTTCATATTTTGTTATGAGATTTTTAAGTAGGTATTAAGATCCACATTATAATTAATTGGGTGAGAATAAGAACAGTACAAGTCCAAAAATTTAATTTTGACAATTTATTTTCTAAAATCAATTTTAAAGTTTAAAATACATTTTTGTGAATATTTTACAGAATATGAATATTATATTTCATGAAATTGTTAAAATATTCTAACAAAACTGAATTTAGAACTATAAAACTGATTTTTTTAAATATTTTATCAAAAATTTTACTTTTGGACTTGTACTATTCTTAATCTTACCGATTTAATTACTGTTAGTTATTAACTAAACGGTTAAAATATTTTTTCTTAAAATATAAATATAACATCCTTTGATTTTGGCATAGTATTTTAACCAAATCTATCGACGCATTTTTTTAAATAAAATTAAAAGTGTGGTGAAATTTATACTTGTATATATGTACCTCAGATATATACAAAATTAGTAATTTACCTCACTTTTAATTTTATTTAAAAAAAAAACTCTTCGAATGATTTGGCTAAAAAACTAGTCAATATAACTTATTTTTACAAAATAAGTATTAATTTTTTTAAAATTTTTTAAGTAGTAGAGTTGTTTTTATTTAATTAAAGAAATTCATTTCCATACTTTATCCTAAAATTTTACAAAAAAACCTCCTAAATTCCTAAATAAAATTTGTAATTTAGCCGTGGGAGCCCTGTAAATGTGTGTAGAACTTTTATAAACCTTATATAATGTATTACAGGTGGTCAGCAGGAAATAGAGAGGGTAAAAAACATTCTAATGCAGTCCAACGCAATACTGGAAGCCTTTGGTAACGCCAAAACAAATCGTAACGATAACTCGTCCAGATTCGGTAAATACATGGATATTCACTTCGATTTCAAAGGTGACCCCATAGGGGGCCATATAAATAAATATCTTCTTGAAAAATCGCGCGTTATATTGCAACAGAGCGGGGAGAGAAACTTCCATTGTTTCTATCAACTGCTGCTGGGCGGCGCTGACGATCTGCTGCGGAAACTTAACCTCAACCGAAACCCCGACTCTTATTTCTACATAAACCAGGGAAAATCCGCCAAAGTGGACACGATCAACGACAAAAACGACTACAAAACCGTCCTCAACTCGCTCAACGCTCTAAACTTCGACTCGGGTGAGGTCGAGTCGATTTGGCGCGTCGTTGCCGCCATCATGCACTTTGGCAACGTCGAATTCGACGTGGTGGACGAGGAGAAGTTGGCCGTGAAACGTGGCAACGCCGTCGACCACGTTGCCACTTTGCTGCAAGTTCAGAAGAGCGAATTAGAGACCGCTCTCTGCGAGAGAGTCATAGCTGCCAGGGGCGATATCATGAGGAAAGAGCACACGGAAACGGAGGCTTCTTTCGGGAGAGATGCCTTCAGTAAGGCCATATACGAAAGGCTGTTCGGCTGGATTGTCGAAAAAATCAACGCTGCGATCGCTATAGACGCCAATAATTACTCCAAAAACTATAAGAGTTCGCTTATTGGTGTTTTGGATATATACGGTTTTGAAATATTCGATAACAACAGCTTCGAGCAGTTCTGCATCAACTATTGCAACGAGAAGTTGCAGCAATTGTTTATTGGTAAGTAAGAACACTTTTATTTAACATAGAACAACTTTATTTGCACTTAACACCTTAAAATTACTAAAAACTAAACACCCATTCTTATGGAACATGATTATTTAAACTTAGAACAACGTTATTATAAATTTAATCTCTTAAAGAACATTTTTAGTGTACATAGAACACTTTTATTTTACGGTAAAAACTTGACTTTAAAATGCTTAACTTTGTTTAAGAACATTTTTATTTTACCGCGAAAACTTTATTTTTCATGGAACATTTTTATTTCTTATGAAACAACGTTTTTAAGACTTTCCAATGCTAAAATGTGTTCAAGAACATTTTTATTATACATTAAAGAGTTGTATTTTACTAAAAAACTTTATTTTGCATAAAACATTTTTATTTCTTATGTAAAGTTATGATACCTCTTTTGCACTTAACACCTTAAAATTACTAAAAACTAAACACCCATATTTTATTTTTAAAATGAACATTTTTGTTTCCTATGGAACATGATTATTTTAACTTAGAACAACGTTATTATGAATTTAAAATCTGTTAAAGAACATTTTTAGTGTACATAGAACACTTTTATTTTACGGTAAAAACTTTAATGTGCATAAAACACCTTTTCAAGGAACATGATTATTTTAACTTATATGAACATTTATTTGACTTTAAAATGCTTAAATTTGTTTAAGAACATTTTTATATTACCGCGAAAACTTTATTTTTCATGGAACATTTTTATTTCTTATGAAACAACATTTTTAAGACTTTCCAATACTAAAATGTGTTCAAGAACATTTTTATTGTACATGAAACACTTATTTTTATTTCGAATAAAACACTTTTATTTCTTATGAAACATGATTATTTTTAACATTAACAGCGATTTTAAAATGCTAAAATTGGTTTTATTTTAAACAGAACATTTATTTATTACGGAACATAATTATTTTAACTTATAACAGCGTTTCTATGGCTTTTAAATGCAAAAAATTTTCAAGAACATTTTTTTTTGTACAAAGACCACTATTATTTTTATAGAACATGATTATTTTAAGCTATAACAACGTTTTAAGGACTTATACCATACATTGTTTAAGAATATTTTTATTAAACTTTTATTTCTTATGAAAATTTACAAAACCCCCTTTATGTGTACACAAAATTTGTTCAAGAACATTTTTAACAAAACTTTTTGTATAGAACAATTTTATTTTGCCACAAAACTTTATTTTGTTGAAACACTTTTATTTCTTATAGAACATGATTATTTTAACTTATTACAGCGTTTTTATGACTTAAAATGCTAAAATTTGTTCATAAACATTTTATTTGACAGAACACTTTTATATCTCATGGAACATGATTATTTTAAGCTTTAACAACGTTTTCAAGACTTTTAAATGCTAAAATTTGTTCAAGAATATTTTTATCTTGCGTAGAACAGTTTTATTTCACCATAAAACTTTATTTTGCATAGAACACTTTTATTTCTTATGAAAACTTATAAAACCTCTTCTATAAGAATAAAATGCTTATATTTGTTCAAGAACATTTTTATTGCACAAAAAAATACTTTTATTTTACCACAAAACTTTATTTTGCATGGAACACTTTTATTTCTTGGGGAATATGATTATTTTCAACTATTACACCGTTTTTATGACTTTAAAGTTCCATAATTTGTTCAAGAACATTTCTATTTAAAATAGAACACCTTTATTTCCTACGGAATATAATTATTTTAACTTATTACAGCGCTTTTATGACTTAAAATGCTAAAATTTGTTCAAGAACATTTTTACTTTACATAGAACACTTTTAAATCTCATGGAACATGATTATTTTAAGCTATAATAACATTTTTAAAACTTTGAAATTCCAAATCTGTTTAAGAACATTTTTATTGTATATTGAACACTTTTATTTTAACTTTATTTTTATGGAACACTTTTATTTTGTACGGAACATGATTATTTTAACCTATAAAAAGGCTTTTATGGCATTAAAATGCTAAAATTTGTTCAAATACACTTCATTTTTATTACAAAATCTTTAAAATTACTTCAAGAACATTTTTATTTAAAACTAAACACTTTTATTTCTTACGGAACATAATTAATTTAACTTAAAAACGCCTGTATGGTTTTAAAATGCTAAAATATGTTTAAGAACACTTTTATTTTGTTATATATAAAAACTTGACTTTATTGTAGTATATAACAATATATTGTGTACAGAACAATCTTATATTACTTAATTCATCTATATTTACGCTATAAACAGTGATTGGTGTGATGAACAAAAAATCATGTATCTCACATTTTAGAGTTGGTTTTGAAACAAGAGCAAGAAGAGTACATGCGCGAAGGCATAGCCTGGACGAACATAGAATATTTCAACAACCAGATAATCTGCGATTTAGTGGAAGCCCCCCACAAGGGCATCCTGTCCATAATGGACGACGCGTGCAAAATGACAGCAGAAAAAATAACCGACGAAATGCTGCTGGAAAACATGGACCGCACCCTCAAGGGACACCATCACTTCATGTCTCGTCAAACTAAACCGTCGGAAAAGTCCTTGAAACACAAAGTCCAGTTCAGGATTACCCACTACGCCGGTGACGTGACGTATTGTATCGAAGGATTTTTGGATAAAAATAAGGACACGCTCTTCCAAGATTTTAAGAGGCTTTTGTACAGTTCCAAGGATAAGAATATTAGGGATATGTGGCCTGAAGGTGCACAACATATCACCAAGGTGAGAGAACATTTTATTTTTGCCTAAACCACCATAAAACACACTTTTAACCCTTAAAACCGTTTATTTTGTCTCGAAATAGTGGCAGGAACATTTTTATTTAAAAAAAACATTTTATTTTAAATCGAACATTTTTATTTCGATTAAAGAACTTTTTCTTTAAAATAGCTTAATTTTCTTAAAAAATAAAAAAAACAATGTAACATAGTACATATTTATTTTGTCGTTAATATTTATATTCTTTATAGAACATTTTTATTCGCATTTATCTTCAAACGGAAGACTTTAATTTCATTGTAACATACATATTTTACATTTTTATATAAAAATGACTAAAACTTAATAGCAGTTCTAGAATATTTTTATTTCATATAGAACATATTTATTTGTACTATAGAACACTACTTTTTGGATAAAAATCATATCAAAATCACACAGAACCCTTTTATTTCGTATGAAACATATTTATTTTGTTATAAAACACTATTATTTTTAATAAAAACAATGTCAAAATCCAACATGGGAAGCTTGTATTTTCCATTGGAACATTAAACATTGTTATTTTTATAAAAAAAATATTTTACTCTTAAAATGTAAAAATAGTCGTAGAACATTAATTTTATATGGAAACATATTTATTTTCTTATAGAACATTATTATTTTGCATACAAATCATGTCAAAATTTAACAATTTTTCCTTGTGTTTTTTTATCTTATTACAAATTTAAATACCCTTATTATGCTTTAAAAATTATTAAAACGTATATTTATCAGGACATAAAGAATTTATATGGAACACAATTATTTTATTATAGAACACTTTTATTTAGTCTTAACATAATTTTAAGACAGAACACATTTATTCCCCTGTAGAACATTTTTATTTTTTCCTAAAACAATTGCAAATCATATTTTTATTATTAATTATTGGCAAGAACATTTTTATTATTATAGGAACACATTTGTTTTGTTTAGAACATTTTTATTTAAATACAAAAACTCTTATTTCCATAAAAACAATATTATTATATTTAATTTTGTTCATGGAACATTTTTATTAAAATAATAATAATAATTATTTTTTTTATCGTCAAATACAGAGGAGTATATTAATGTATGCAATAAATAAAATATAGTCAACATTCAATATTTCCCTTTTTAAACGTAAAAATAGTCGTAGAACATTAATTTTATATGGAAACACATTTATTTTGTATATTTTGCATAAAAATCATGTCAAAATTTAACAATCAATTTTTCCTTGTGGTTTTCTTATAGAACACATTTATTCTGTTACAGAACATAGTTATTTTATAAATAGAACATGTTTAAAATGATTAAAACGTATATTTAGCAAGACATAAAAAGTTTATATAGAACACTTTTATTTAGCCTTAACATAATTTTAAGACAACACATTTATTCCCCTGTAGAACATTTTTATCATTGGCAAGAACATTTTTATTTTTATGAGAAACACATTTGTTTTGTACGGACCATTTTTATTAATATTTATTAAAATAAATATTAAATTTTGTTCAAGGAATATTTTTATTTTAACATGGCACATTTATTTTGCTTATAGCTTTTGCTATATTTCTGCTTATTATCTAAAAGGCTTAAAATAATGTCAAACTTTAATATTTCCATTGGAACATTCTTATTTGATACCGAACATATTTATTTCACCACAGAACAGTGGAAAATGCTTATTTTAACACAAAACATCCTTATTTTACTCTTAAAATGACTCAAAAGTAAAACTAGTTTGAGAACATATTTATTTTGTTATAGAACACTTTTATTTAACAAAAACACGTAATTTTAGACCACAAAACGTCCCCCAACAACAGGAATCCTCTTTAAAAACTCCATGTCCGCTCTGGTACAAAACTTGTTAAGCAAAGAGCCACATTACGTGAGATGTATAAAACCGAACGAAATAAAATCAGCCGCAGCTTTTGATGAACAGAGAGTGAGGCATCAGGTTTCGTACTTAGGGTTGGTGGAGAATGTTAGGGTGAGACGAGCTGGTTTCGCCTACAGGCAGAGATACGATAAGTTTTTAAAGAGGTATTTATTAAATTGTATTTATAGGGTGTTCTATAGTTCTGATCTTGTAGGTATAAAATGTTGTCGCAATTCACGTGGCCCAACTTTAGGGGCGGTTCCGATCAAGACGGTGTCAAGGTGATCATGGACAGCAATAACTTCAGCAACGATGTTAAGTATGGTAAAACGAAGATATTCATTAAGTCCCCAAAAACTCTTTTCAACTTGGAAAACCAGAGGAATGAGTTAATACCGCAACTGGTAACTCTGATAACTAAGAACTGGCGTGGTTACGTGGCCCGTCAGCAGTACAAACGCATGAAGGCTTTGATGGTGATGGTGAAGGCTTACCGCCTCAAAAAAATGCGCGTATACGTGAACAATTTGCAGAGAAAGTTCGCCAACGCTAAAAACATGAAGGATTACGGTAAAAGTATTCAGTGGCCGGCGCCTCCTAGGTCCCTAAAAGTGACCACCGATCTTCTGCGCAGCGCTTTTAGACGCTGGCGCGCATACATGATCCTCAAGAAGATACCGCGCGAAGAATGGCCGCAGATGCAACTTAAAATCACTGCAGCAAGCGTCTTCTTGAGGAAACGCAAAGAGTTCGGTGTCAACCGCAAATGGGAGGGTAACTACTTGGGTTTATTGGCCGAAAACAACAACTACAGCCTGTACAACGAGGCCGTCAACAACCTGAAGAACACCAAGCACTTCAACAACGTCCTGTTTTCATCGTACGTCACCAAGTTCAACAAGTTCAACAAGTGCGCCGAAAGAGTTATGGTGGTGACGGATAAATACGTGTTCAAGCTGGATAAAGAAAAGTACAGGAACATGAAGGAGGGTGTTCCCATTGAAAGCGTAGCTGGGATAAGCGTCAGTCCGGAACATGATCAACTGTTGGTGCTGCATTGCCCTGGTGGTAACGACCTGGTTGTGTCGCTGCATTCCAACAAGCAAGAAGACCGTATTGGTGAAGCTGTAGCTGTTATAAGTCGAGCATATTTCTTGTAAGTATTTTGTTGCTTTGTGGAACATTTTTATTTTAACATTTTTTGTCTTAAAACAAACAAAATAGGATTGGAACATTTTATTATTAGTATGGAACATTGTTGGTGTTAAATAAAACAGTTTGAGGAACTTTAAATACGCCTATATTTACGTATAAAAATTCTTAAAAGGTGTGAAGCAGTAGTATTTTGTTCAGGAACATTTTATTTTAATAGAACATTTTTATTTTAAACGAAATGTATTTATTTTTACCCAGAGCAGGACATTTCTATAAAATGCCTTATTTTAGTATGGAACACTTTTATTATTAACTTTTTAAATTTGTCTTCATCTTTATTTTAGTACTGAACATTTTTATATTTACTGAACAGTAATTGGGTTAAGAACATTTATTATTATTTTAGTATGGAACATTTTTATTTTTCAAAGAAAATTTTTATTTTTCAAGTAAAATTTTTATTTTTCAAGTAAAATTTTTATTTTTGAAGGAACATTTTTATACGAGCATTTTTAACTAAATTTAAATTTTAGCTTTTTATAGAAAAATTCTTATTTTAAATAGATCATTTTTATTGTACACACAAAATTACATTAAGACTTTTCAAAACTTTTAAAAATTGTAGAAAACTATTTAATACAATTTTGTTTTACCAAATTTTATTTTTACGGAACCCTTATTTATTACAGATTATTTAGTATGGAACGATTTTTGTTGAAATCGACGTTTAAAATTTTGTCAGAACGCATTTATTTTGTTATTGAACATTTTTATTTTTTTAATGACATTCGAATTTTTAATAGATCATTTTTATTGTATAAATACATTTATTATCAACAGAACATTGAATTTAAAAAACCTAAAATTTGTCTTGAATGATTAGAATGGAACATTTTATTCTTTTTAATGACATTTTTCCCTAAAGTTAACTTTTTAAATTTATCTTCATCTTTATTTTAGTACTGAACATTTTTATATTTACTGAACAGTAATTGGTTCAGGAACATTTTTAATTTCATTTCATTTTTTTTATACAAAATGCATTAAACTTAAAAATAAAATATTTTAATATGGAACATTTTTATTTTTTAAGGAACATTTTTATTTTTCAAGGAACATTTTTAACAAAACTAAAATTTTAGCTTTTTATAGAAAAATTATTATTTTTAATAGATTTTTTATTGTACACACGAAATTGTACTACATATAATATTTTATATCACAAACCATTTTTTCTGGAATTAAGACTTGAAAACTTTTATAAAATGTATAAAACTATTTAATACAACTTTATTTTACTTTATTTTAATTTTACGGAACTACCTTGTTTAGTATAGTTTATTTAGTATGGAACCATTTTTGCTAAAATTTTTCCACAAGGAAAGTATGGAACATTTTATTTCTAACGTCATATTAATTTCATAGAAAACTTCGTATTTTTAATAGATCATTTTTTTTTGTACACTAAATTCTCCTCAGAACATTGAATTTAAAAATAGCTAAAATTTGGACATATTTTTCCTAAAGTTAACTTTAAAACTTCTTTATTTTAGTACGGAACATTTTTATTTTTATGGAACATTTTTATTTTTATGAAACATTTTTATTTTTATACAAAATTCATTTATTTGGCATCAAAGCAGTTTCGTATATTAAATTTAACAATAAAATTTTTTAGTATGGAACATTTTTATTTTTCAATAAACATTTGTAACAAAACTAAAATTTTAGCTTTTTATAGAAAAATTCCTATTTTAAATTGATATTGTTCACTAAATACATTTATTTTGCCTCAGAACATAGAATTTTAAAATACCTAAAATTTGTCTCAAACAGTTATTTTACTAAAGAACATTTTTATTTAATTTTTCAGGAACAATTTTGTACAGGCCAATTTTCCTAAAATTGACTTATAAACTTACTGAAAGAACTATTTTAGTTGGAAACATTTTTATTTTTACGAAAAATCTGTATTACTTTTTTTATAACGTTTTTATTTTTACGGAACATATAAAAAGTATAAAACATTAATAATTAGTTCAAGAATTTTTATTTCATACGGCTCCAAATTAGTAATATTCAATTTAATAATATATAAAATGGAACATTTTTATTTTTAAAATTGACGTTTATAATTTTATTGGAACAACTTTATAAGTATGGACCATTTTTATTTTTACGATTTTAATTTAATGCACAACATTTATTTGCCCCAACAGAGTATTATAAAATTTAAACACCTGAATTTGGGCTAAAAACAGTATTTTCTAAAAAAATATTTAAAACAATTTAAAAACAAAACTAAAATTCGACATTTTTTTTATATCACAAGCCAATATTCCTAAAATTGACTTTTATAAATTTGTTTTTTTACGGAAACATTTTTATTTCATATTACATTTTGAAATAAAATATTTCAGTATGGAAAGTAAAATTTTAGCTTTCCTAAAATTCACTTTTGAAAATATTGTTAACACCTTTATTTAAGTTGTTACGAAAAATCTGTATTTTGATTTAAAATTAACTTTTATAAATATACTAGAGCACCTTTAATTTATTTTTATATTTTTATTTTTACGGAACATAAAAACTATTCTTTAAAGAAAACCGTAATGCTTTGTCCTTTATTTTTATATAACATTTTAATTTTTTATAGAATAAATAAGCTTCTAAAATTCTTTTAAAACTCGCTAAGTACTTCTTTTATTTTTAGGTTGAAAAAAGTGGATTTACCAGTAAACGTGTCAAAAACTATATCCTGCTCGCTAGGCGGAAAATCGAGGTTAATAAACATACAGGTTTCTTCGGCTGAACCCCAACCCGTTTTCAAGAGGGACGGCAACAATGTGGCTTACATGCTTCCATCAAACTTTGCCGTTTACGAAAACGGCAACAATCACATAAAGCAGTGAATATTTCGTTAGATTTTTCATCGAAAATCTATTACTATTTTTATGCATTTTTTACCCAAAGAAATTTTAACTTAACGTGCCTTTTACAACGATTTTTAAAAGTATTAATTAATTAATAGTTTTAAGTATTAACTATTTTAAAACTAATTGTATATTGTGTACTTAATTTTGGCATTATGTAATTTTTTACACTGTGATTGTATGGCATTTTTATTATGTACTGTTTTTTATTATTGAATTGGTTTTAAAAATTATTGTTATATAAATATAAGCCATGCTTAAATATTTATGTTTTTAAGATGATTATATATTTATTGTGTAAGTGCCATTATAATATATTTTGTATCGGCTTTTTAGATACTTACTGTTTAGTCAACAAAAAAGTGCCTTAATAAAACCCTAAAAAAAATAACGCGTTTTATTTTGAACAAATTTATTTGGCCCAAATAAATAAAAATCCTCATTCTCAACATATTTTTTATTAACACTAATAATTCAGTAACAATCATACAATTTTTATTGATTTATTATTTATATACTTATTTACATAGATAAACTGATTAAAATATTATTTTAGTACGTGAATTTTCAAAAAACTAAAAACAGCTAATATCATGGGAATGTAGAACTATACACCTATATACTGCAAAAAATGACATCAAAACTTGCACTGTAATTTTATTAAAAGCTTGAATTTGACAACCTAAACGTCAAAAATGACAGATCTACTGTCAAAGTGACATTTAAACTGTCAAATTCACTTGTATCAACATAAAAACTCTAATAAAAATGATACCATAATACTTGTCGTAAAATTAGGTGTTTTACGCTTTGCCAGAAACCTGTGCGCCAGGTTTAGGTTGAGGTTTATCGGAGGTTTGCTCCTTCTCCAACTGACGGCCAAGGTATTCCCAGTTGTGCACCATCAACTTTTGAACGGCCAAAAGGGCCTCGTAGCGGACATTGGGGTCTTCGTGAGCCAGAAGCTGCATTACCAGTTGCTTGCCTCCCAATTGCTCAATAACGCTGGAAAAATAATTTTCGTTGTGATAAATCATTGAAGGGACTTTAAAGTTATCAGTTTGTATCATTTCAAGGTCACGCAATCTCAATAGATAGGAAAAATTATGGATTTTGTAAACAAAACCTCGTATCTCAAAAACCACTTATAATAAAACCTTGCAATTTAGAAGGTACTTAAAGTGAATCATTAATCATAATATACTCGAATTTCAAGGTTATGCCATCTATAGTTTTTGAGACATCAGTAGTGTTCAATACAAAACATATTGAGGGCATTTTGGACAAAATCACGTATCTCAAAAACCACATAAGTTAAAGCATTGAAATTTGGAGGGTACTTAAAATCAGTTTTGATAATTTTTCCTTATTTCAAGGTCACACGATCTGTAGTTTCCAAGATATGGGAAAAATTATTAATTTTGTAAAGTTAATCATAAATCATATAATGTCAAAACAGAATGCCAAAAACATATTTAAGAATGTTAAAAACATAATCTAGGCTATCAAACACAATCTTAACTGTCAAAAAACACAATTTAGAGTGTCAAAAATATTTAAGAATGTCAAAAACACGATTATAACACAATTTAAATTATTCAAATACTCTTGACTGACTGTGAAATCACACTTGAATGTCAGAAATAAAATGTCAAAAACACAATTTATAATACCGAAACACACTTAAGAATATCAAAATGTCAAAAACATATTTAAGAGTGTCAAGAACATAATCTGTAGTGTCTAAAAGAAAATAATATAGTTTTAAAAACACAATTTATAATGTTTATAAACATTTAAAAATATCAAAATGTCAAAAACACGATTTTATAAATATAAAAATGTCAAAAACACTATTTCAATTATTTTAACAGACTTTAGAATGTCAAAAACAATATTAAGAATATCAGAAAGACATTCAAAAACACTAAATTGATAAAAACGCATTTAGGGATGTGACACAAATTTAAATGTCAAACACGCAATGCGCAAACACACTAAAGAATGTCAAAAACAAACTTAAGAATGTCAGAGACAGGCTAGAATAAGAATTTGGGAATTTAAACACCGAATCTAGGACATCTTAATTTATAATGCCTTATCTACAATATTATAAATAAATGACAAAACATAATTTTTTATTTTTTTAACATTGTAGATAGTTAAGTCTAAAACACATTTAATTTATGTCAAAAAGAGGAACAGAATACCAAATCTAAAATTTCATATGGAATGTCAAAAAAACCTATGTAGGAAAAGAATCTTAAATATAAAATTTAGAAGTAAAGAAAACCTCGTATCTCAAATACCACTTATATAGAAATTAATTTATTATCAATTATTCCTTTATTTAAAAGAAATAATAATATGTCAAAACATATTTAAGAATGTTAAAAACATAACCTAGGCTGTCAAGCACAATCTTAACTGTCAAAAACATAATTTAGAGTTTCAAACAATTGTTAACATTTAAATATATCCAAATGTCAAAAACACGATTTAAATTATCCTTGACTGTCAAATAACATTTAGAAATGTAAAAAATTTAAAGTTTAAATGCCCAACACACACTTAAGAGCTTTTTTAAGAATGTTAGAAACACAAATTTGAATGTCAAAAACACAATTTACAATCTCAAAACATATTTAAGAATGTCAAAAGCAAAATCTAGGCTATCAAACACAATCTTAACAGTCAAAAACTCAATTTAGAGTCAAAAACACTCTTGAATGTCAAATCACATTTAGAAATGTCAAAAACAATTTATAATGCCCAAACACGCTTAAGAACTTTTTTAAGAATGTCAGAATGAAAATGTCAAAAACACAATTTATAATACCCAAATACGCTTAAGAATATCAAAATGTCAAAAACATATTTAAGAGTGTCAAGAACATAATCTGTCAAAAAGAAGATAATATAATTTAATAAACACAATTTAAAGAGTTTAACATTTAAAAATATCAAAAACACGATTTTATAGATATAAAAATGTCAAAAACACTATTAAGAACATCAGAAAGACATTCAAAAACACTAAAATATTAAAAATGCAGGGGTGTGATCAACACAAATTTAAATGTCAAACACGCAATGCGCAAATACACTAAAGAATGTCAAAAACAAATTTAAGGGCAGGCTACAATATGAATTTGGGAATTAAAAAACCGAATCTGGGATGTCAAAATCTTAATTTATTAAGTAAGAAAAGACAAAAGATATTTTTTAATTTTTTTCAACAAGTCTAAAACACATTTTAGGAGGTTCTGCTATTTAAAATGGAGTATAACAAAACAGAATACCAAATCTAAAATGTCATTTGAATTGTCAAAAACAAATGTGGGAAAAAACAAAGTTTTGAATGTAATAAAAAGAAGAATACAAACACATAATTTAAAATGAAAAAAATAACTTCAAATACACATTGTCAGAACGACTTCTAAAATGTCAAATACAATCTGGAATGCCAAAAAACACATTTAAGATTGTCATAAAGACATCTAGAATAAAAAACACATTTGTCAAAAGGACATAATTTAGACTTTAAGTACTTAACGTTAATCATTAATCATATTATGTCCAAATTTCAAGGTTATGCTATCTTTTGTTTTTAGAATATAGGCCATGCAAAAATGTTGAGGGCCCAAAATCAAAATATTCACTTACTGCTTTCCGCGTGGATAATGACGGACATACTCTCCGATATCGAAGCTGGCTACACTCAAGACCAGGGGGTCTTTGCTGGTTTCCAGCAAATGGATCAAGATGCGCAAAAGTTCGTAGTTCTTCTCGTTGAGGCGTTGCGCATTTTCGCGCCAAAATTTGGATTTGTGCACCGGGGACCATTCCAAGCGACCTGACTTTACCTGCAACAACATTGGTAAAAAAAAATGTTTTTTTAAGTCGTCGAACGTGTTACCTCGGTTGCGTATTCGTCGAAAGAGCTCAAATCTTGCACGGAGCTTTGTAATCTTTCTGTTAGGAATTCTACGTCGCCAATAAGGTCTTCGTCGTCGAATTTGCGTTGCTCGAGGATTGCCAGTTGTTTTAGCACCTGAATAACACCGAATTATTCATCTGATAACACTTAATTTTCTATAAAACATACCTTGCACTGTACCATAGCAATGCAATGCTCTTTGGCGACTTGCAAGTCATCAGGTTTCTCGATCAGATTCCTGAACACCGCCAGAATGATCCTGGTGACTTTCTCTTTGACGGAGTCGCTCAGAATGTCGGCCAGAATGGGGATGACGTTGAACTTGTTCATCTTCTCGGCCAGCAGGGGGTTGAAAGTCAACACCCACAGGCAGAAAATCAACTGGTACTGGACCTGGAAGTTCACGCGGCCGGACAGGACGGACAGCAAGGTGGATATGCCGTCCACCGAGACGAACGCGAAACGGTAGTCATCTATGCGAAGCATCATCTGAAGGCAACGGGCCACCGATTGGATAAACTCGTTGTTCTAAGTGACAGAAAAACGAGGTTGGAAAAAATAGGATATCATTGAATTCAAGCCCAAGTGTCAATTTCATACATTACAGTAGAAACCACAAATATATGAACGTGACTCAACAGGTCACGGTCCAGTGCAGTGCTGTTCTAACGGGGGCATAAGTATTTGTAAAAAATCTTGAATGTAATGTTGGTTGCTATAATTCTGATATATTTGCTTTTAAAGTTAAACACAGTACACACTTGAGTGTAATGTTGGTTGCTATACTTCTGATATATTAAATCCTGTAACTTTACATTTCAATGTAATATTTTTTTTCAGTGTAAAGTTGGTTTCTTTACTATGTAATAAAATAAAATAAATTTCCTAAAACACGAACTCTACTGAATTCCAACAAAAATAAGTAACAAGCTAGGACACGCGTCATATGTCCATCTTTGTCCAACACCTATAGGCAGTTTTACATCACAGATGGCGCGTTTTAGACCGGATGCTTAAAAACGTACGTGTGAGTACATTTGCCGCTGCATCGAATGTACAAGACAAGTAAAACATTACTGCTAGCATGTCTGAGATATGTTCGGCACCCGATGAGTCACGTTCATATATGAATAACGAATAACGAATATATATATTCGTAGAAATGTAACACCTTGCCTGAATTCAAACTTTAAAATGTACATGAAGATGACGTATGTGAACCAATCCTTCAATATACGCTCAATCACTACTGAAAATCATGCAAAAACATGCGAAAATCATGCATAAACCTTATATAATCAATACATATACTTTTACCTCATTTTTTCCTTACTAAAAAGAACCTATTCTAATGATATATGAGACTTGATACTAGAAAACGTCTTATCTGGTTTCATGATCTTTATCAATTGTACAGTTTAAAAGGTTAATTTTCTCGTACCAAATCCCATATAATGACACTATAAACCTATCAAATGATATTTTTATTATCGACATTATTTTTATATAGGTACCGAAATTTCTTGAGAACCCTGTTTTTCGTCAATACTAAAATTAACTTCATGGTAATGTTCCTTCGGTTCTTCTCCTTTAGGGCTTTTCACCAACTCCGCTTGTAGAATGGCGTTCGCTATTTGTCCATACTAAAATTTGACGTTTTTTTTTTGCTTTTTGCTTTTTTTCGACATTTCAAGCGCCAGCGGTAAAAATAGAGCAGAAAAGACCAATCACCTTTTTTTGCAGCTATACAGCCCTATATATCTATGCTATAGTTTTTAGAGTTTTTTTTTTTGTTGGACTAAACACTGTTGTTATGTTATACAGAGTGCCCAGAAACTTTTTTGTGAAATGAAAACTTTAAATTTTAAAAAACCTAAGAATGTCAAAACACATTTAAGAATTTTAAAAACACATTTAAGAATGATATATCACAATTTAGAATGTCAAAAACACTATCAAGAATCAGAAAGGCATTTAAAAGCAAAATTAAGAATGTCAGACATTTAAAAATATTAAAAACAGAAGATATTTAAACACATAATTTAGAATTTCTAAAACATAATCTAGGTTGTCAAACACAATCTTAACTGTCAAAAACACGATTATATAAATATAAATGTCAAAAACACAATTTAAATGATCTAAACATACTTGAATGTCAAAAACACAATTTATAAGAATATTAAATTGTCAAAACACATTTAAGAGTGTCAAGAACTGTTCTTGAACATAACAAAAAATTTAAATTATAAAAAACCTAAGAAAATCAAAGTCATTTAAGAAGTTCAAACAGACATTTATAAATGTTATATTTAGAACGTCAAAAACACTATTAAAAAATCATGTGAAAAATATAAATTTAAACGTCAAAACACATTTAAGAATATCAAAAACAAAATGTAGAATGTCAAAAAACACATTTAGAAATGTTGGCAATAATATTTTCAAACATAATCTAGCAAACACAATTTAGAGTGTCAAAAAATATGTAAGAAAATCTAAATGTCAAAAACACGATCCTATAATAAATAAAAATGTCAAAAACACAATTTAAATTATCCAAACACTGTTGAATGTCAAAAACACAGTTTATAATACCCAAACACGCTTAAGAATATCAAAATGTCAAAAACATATTTAAGAGTGTCAAGAACATAACATAAAAAACCTAAGAATATCAAAATATATTCAAACACATTTAAAATTATTATATTTAAAATGTCAAAAACACTAAAATATTAATAAGGCATTTAGGGACGTGAAAAACACAAATTTAAATGTCAAAACACATTTAAAAATATCAAAAACAGAATGTAGAATGTCAAAATCACAATTTATAATTAATTTTTAAAACAAATTAAGGAATGTTGGCAAAATATTTTTAAAAACATATGTACAGTGCCAAAAAGCATATTTGAGTGTCAAAACACAATTTACAATCCCAAAACATATTTAAGAATGTCAAAAACAAAATCTAGTCTGTCAAACACAATCTTAACAGTCAAAAACACAATTTAGAGTCAAAAAACAACCAAACATCAAAAACACTCTTGAATGTCAAATCACATTTAGAAATGTCAAAAACACAATTTATAATGCCCAAACACACTTAAAAACTTTTTTAGGAATGTCAGAATGAAAATGTCAAAAACACAATTTATAAGTGTCAAAAAGGAGATAATATAATATGCCAAAAACAAATTTAAGAATGTCAGAGGCAGACTAGAATGAGAATTTGGGAATTTAAAAACCGAATCTAGAATGTCAAAATATTAATTGATCTACAATATTAAGTACTAAAGGACAAAAGAGATTTTTTAATTGTTTTAACATTGTAGATATGTCAAAAACACATTTAATTTTGTCAAAAAGGAGATTCTTGAACAATTTCAAAAACACATTTAGGAGAAGAATCTTCAAATCAAAATTTAGAATGAAATAAAAAGAATTTAGAAAAGATTCTTAAACACATCATTTAAAAACTCAATTAGGAATATAAAAAAAGTCATCAGTAAATTCTCAATAACATAATTTAGAATGAAAAAATCACATCTAAAATGACAAATACAATTTGAAATGCCAAAAACACAATTAAGAATGTCAGAAAGACATCTAGAATAAAAAAACACATTTGTCAGAAAGGACATAATTTAGAATTTAAAAAACACAATTAAGAATGAAAATTGTACATACATTGTAGGATAAATGCTTTATTATTGTTTTTACCTACAACAATAAGTAGTTTGTTTACAAATTTAAAGTTTTATTTACCAGAGTTTTGGACACCCTGTATAGGGCATACAAAGTTTTAATTGTATGCTAGGTAGTTAGTCACATAAAAACAACACAAGTTAATTTTTTTAATTATTTGTACGTTTTCTTCGATGTAAAAAAACAAGAATTGTCATAAAAAAATGTTTCCTATTTTTTTTTTAAATTTCTTCACATATTTTTTTACCTCTTGAGCGACTTTGGTCGCGTCAGCCAAAGACATCCCAAACATAATACTGTTTGTGCCATGTATTATGTCCATACAGCTGCGCCTCTCTTTTCTCGGCGCCTGTCGCTGCTGCGTAACTGCGGCCATCTTGTTTTTTATCTCCTACGCACTCACAGAAATTTTTGAACACAAGAAAGTTAGAAGGAAAACAAAACAAAAAAATCGTGAAAACGGACGGAAAAGCGGCAACACTGCTCGGGTCTATTGCGCTGTTGTCAGATCGTCATCGAAAGCAGCAATTAAATTGCCACGCCAAACGTGCAATTGGTGGAAAAATATGCTTGAAAATTTGACAAAAATTGACTTATTTTAGTTTAACTGCAAAATTTAATATTTTTAATTATTATGACTTTGTTTAGGTAATTGTATAATAATTATTATACAACTATACAAAGTTATGATGATTTTTTACACAAACTGTCAAAAAAACATTTGTCAACCATGTTGCCAAGTTTTTGACTTTGTGACCTTCAAACCTAAATATGTCAAAATTTAACCTCAAAAAGTTAAAACAAAAAACAAAATCGTTGAATTTAACTAAAATATTTTTTTGTGAAATTTCAGGCAAAACTGTGATGTGCAATCCAAAAATCATGCAAAACCATAATAAAATGTGCAAAAAAAATTGGATAAAACATGCGATTTTGAAAAAAAAACGTAAAAAAAATAATATTAAATTAAACTAGCTAAATCTAAATTCTATACATCTAAAGTAGGCCATTTAATTCATATAAAGCATACATGTATTAATTTACTAAAAATAAACTTAGAAAAAGCGTTCAAAGCTAAATAAAAAAAAACAATGTTAAGAAATGTTAGACACAAAATTACCAATTTTATATGATTAATAATTGTATAAAATAAATGTGGAATTACTAAAGTAAAAAACATTTATTTTATTATTTTTGCATTATAAAAAAATAAAAATTGTTAAGTCACCTGGGTTTTTAGCTGATCTTTTAACCAAGTTAGGTAAAAATGCAGATCTGACCTTTCCATAGGTGTATGAGACCAACAAGCAATTTTAGCTATAATTCTTGATGTCATATTAGTGATAAAACCATCTTGACGATTCAATAGATTTAAAAATGGTCCCCAGACTGATTCTTTCTTCTTATTGGCATAGTTATGGAATATTTCAACTCTAGATCTATCCTCCTACAAAATCAACTTTTAGCTGTAAAAAACGTAATTTTTTTAGTCAGCTGTACCTGCAACATGTCATCCATAAGTACAAGAATATACTGTAATGTCTGGTCCTTTGATACATGCCCCAAAAGGTTCAGAAAAGTTTGTGCACATTGATCAGGGTCACTGTGAAGCAATCCCTCTCTTTTGTGCGAATCGTGCGTATCAAAGGCAACAATAAAGTTAAAATCCTCCTGTGAAATCATCTGGGATCTAAGATTTACACGAAATTAATGGTTTAGTCTGGAATGTTAAAAATAACCTCAACTTACTGAAAATATGATTGCCAGTTGACTTTTTGGTTTCTGATGTCGGTGGCTCTTTGCTGGAGGACGCTCGTTGCGGCCAGCATATCTGAAATATTCATTTTTTGATCGAATTTTGACAAAAATCGGGCCAAATAGTAGGTTATTTTCAAACGTCAAATTTTGGAGCCACTGTCTGGTCTAAATTTATCACGTGAATGTAAACACACCTATTTTTACGTTTCTCGTGTTTTTACCAAAATAATCCCCCAATGCATCCCATAAAAACACACAACGTTGCAAAATTTAATTTATTTAAAAAAAAACTAATTACCTACTTAGAGACTTTTGGGTGCTTACCGATTTTATCATCGTCTATGGACGTTATTAGTTCCTTTAATTTGGGTTCGGCCGCGGCCCCATTAGTTCCACCCACCATCTTCGAAAACTCCTTTTTTCCGCAGTTAAAACACAAAAAACACCCTTTTCTTATAAAAACCACTTCTCTGTGACAGCTGAGAAATCTTGTGATTATTGACCAAAGCCACCAACTTAACACCTCTAGTCATATGACTTTATACTGTGCAATAGAAAGAGACACCACTTTAATTCCGTTGGCAGCATTGTTTGTTTTGGCGGCCATTTAAAAAGTAGAAAAATGTCACTTTCAGAACCCAAAGAAAAATTAAATTGCAGATTAAAACATAATTATCCACTGCCCATAATTTTAAAAGGCGGAAACGAAATATACAAGTTCCAAGGTTTATACAACGGTTTTTGCGTGGAAGTGACAGACGATGAAGAGGTTAGAAACCTTGTTTCTATGGGTTATTTCGGAAAAGCTAATTTATCAAGAAGTTTCCCCAATTTTGTGAACAAAGAAAAGGTGGAAATATTGCGGGAAAGACAGTTTAAACGTAGAAAACACTGGGGTGGTGGTAAAACCAAAAAAGTGCTTGTTGTGAATGATTCCGATAGTGATATAGAAATTAATGAATATTTGAAAGAAATCACCCCTAAATATGAGATTGATTCATCAAATATCAAAGAAAAACTTTTTATGGGTTTGGAGGAAGCATTTTTCCTTGCCAGTGCTGTGAAATGTTTAAATATAACCCACAATAACAACATTCTATGTGATGACGAAATTTGGAATTTATTTTCAAAAGAAAACAACTTATTTCAGGAAAATTATGTGGTTTACTATTACTATAGGTCTAAAAACTGGGTTGTTAAACCCGGTATTAAATTCGGGGGCGATTTTTGTAAGAAAAAACAATATTTTTAGGTAAAAAATAACATTTTGATTTTAGTGTTATACAAAGAGGGCCCCCCTTTTTATCATGCTTCCTATGTGGTAATCATAGATATATTTAATGAAAAATTACAGAGAATCAATAAAAACTACCGAAGATCTATGAACAGTATGGAAATTTTGGGTTTGAATCGATTGTGTGAAACATCAGGGAAGGAATTACTAATTTCCCAAGTAATTTTACCTTCTGAACTAGAAAATATATCATATTTAAACCTAAAGGACTTTGAAATACGCGAAATAACGTTAAAAAGGTGGCTATTAAAACAAGAAAACTCATAACTACTTAAGAAATATATTTGTAAACTAAAAAATAATTGTATCATTACATAGATGTTGGTAACCTGGTATTTTTTTGCTTCTGGGTAATCCCTGTTCTCCTATATTCACTCCTCTCCTCCAAATACTCTTTTTTGCACCTTTGTTTGAAATCCTCGTCTTCATACCACTTTGTAAGACAATTTTTAAGATCGTCATTTTGTTTTCTGCACTTTACAACCATTAAAATACTGCTGTCCTTGCAACATTCCGTGAATTTGCCGACTTCTTCCAAGCATTTTTCAACGCGAGCGACTTCTCGCATTTTTTTCGGTATCATAACGTCCTTTTCCACTTTTCTTAACGTTAAATCATTCGGATCGCCTGAAACAAGTTCAAATTTCGCGCGTTAAAACAAAAGAATATCGGGAGAACTGTCAAAATTGAGAAAATCAGTTCAAATACTCGCTGATTTTATCGGATGGTAATCTTCAGGGGATAAAGGGGTGAAATCGACGTTTTTTGTTTTTTTATACCTAATCCGTGCGGTCCTTTGGAAAATTTTTCCGGCAAAACACTTTTAGACATTTTTACTATTAAGGGAAACTACTTTACCGGCCGAGTTGATACGTCATGATTTGCAGAAAGTGACATTAGCGTATAAATCTGAAAACAAAGCCGATTATTTTGCAGTTTAACGGTTAAATAAACACAGAAACTAAGGTAAATACATTTTTTTATGGTTAGTGTGTAATATAAAAACATATTTGTTGTATTTTTAGTTAGTATGGATCGTTTATTAAGATTGGGAGGCGGAATGCCCGGTTTAAGTCAAGCACCTGCCCCAAATGATGCCCCTGTGGTGGATACGGCTGAACAAGTGTATATTTCATCCCTCGCGCTTCTAAAAATGTTAAAACACGGCCGCGCCGGCGTCCCAATGGAAGTTATGGGCCTTATGTTAGGTGTGCATTGAGGTTATGTTATGACTTGCATTATCCTAATTTCCCTATTATTTCAGGTGAATTCGTCGACGATTACACAGTGAGGGTTATAGATGTGTTCGCTATGCCGCAAACCGGTACCGGCGTCAGTGTGGAGGCCGTAGATCCCGTTTTTCAGGCAAAAATGCTGGATATGTTGAGACAAACCGGAAGGCCTGAAATGGTCGTCGGTTGGTACCACTCTCATCCCGGGTTCGGTTGTTGGTTGTCAGGGGTCGATATTAACACGCAACAATCATTTGAGGCTCTCTCTGAAAGGGCTGTGGCTGTCGTAGTCGATCCCATTCAGTCTGTTAAAGGGAAGGTTGTGATTGACGCTTTTAGGCTGATAAATCCTAATATGATGGTCTTGGGGCAGGAACCCAGACAGACCACATCGAATTTGGGGCACTTACAGAAACCTTCTGTGCAAGCCTTGATTCATGGATTAAATAGGCATTACTACTCCATAAGTATTAACTACAGAAAGAATGAGTTGGAGCAAAAAATGCTGTTGAATCTCCATAAAAAATCCTGGATGGATGGTTTAACTTTAGCTGACTACTCAGAGAACTGCAGTGTAAATGAGAAAACAGTCGCTGATATGCTGGAATTAGCTAAAAACTACAATAAGGCTCTTGAAGAGGAAGAAAAAATGACGCCAGAACAACTCGCGATTAAAAATGTGGGTAAACAAGATCCCAAGAGGCATTTAGAAGAGAAAGTCGATGTACTTATGACAAACAATATTGTACAATGTCTGGGGGCTATGCTTGATACTGTGGTTTTTAAATAAACTCATTTTATATTATTTTATATTCATATTTAAACCCTAATTTGTAATATTTATGTTTATTACAATTTTCTTAACATTAAAATTAATTTCCTTTTCTAAAATGTGGTTTTATTTCACCACACAAGCATTTTACTAATTTTATGGTTTTTGACTTTAAACAGGTGAGTAATAAAACAGTTTTATAAAATCTTATTTAATAAATAAATCTAAATAATCCCACAATTGCACTTATAAAATATTTATAAAAACTATATCATTTTACATAGTTTTCCAAAAGTTCCAATCTTTCCCTATGAACACCTTCAACAAATTCACTTATATAACTATTTTTACACCTAACATTATTGTTATACTCCTTAAATTTCTCAATATTGTAATAACTTCTTTGATACTTAAAAATACAAGCCATGAGATGCCATACAGTGAATTCAGGCCATAAAACATCGGCAAAATAAATTTGTGTGTTGGTGGACTGCCAAAGCAAAAAATCGCTGAGCCTCACTTCTCCTGAGGTTCTTATTAGAATGTCAGGGTCGGGGCTCAAGTTTGTGTACAGACATTTTTTTAGTAACTCTTTGTTTATATCATTTATAGTTATTTTGTTGTCTTTTACACCTTGCACAACTGTTTTTACGCTGTTTGAGATCTCGTCGCGAGATGTATAAGCAAAAGCAACATTTAGAAAAACAGTTTTGTTGTTTTTTGTTAGTAACATTGTTTTGGCAATGTTTTCCTTTATATCGTCGGGTAATAAATCCATATTACCTATAACTCTAATGCACACACCCTCCTCCATTAATTTCTCCTTTTCTTCAAATAAAACCTTGAACTTCTCCCTTGCTAACCTCATCAACGTATCAACTTCTTCTTTGCTGCGCTTAAAATTCTCTATACTGAAAGCATACACTGTAGCCTCCTTGATTCCAAACTCCATGCACCACTGTAGACACTCAGCCAACTTATCAAAACCTTTGGTATGCCCTTCGGCCTTTTCTACATGTTTTTTAGTAGCAAAACGTCTGTTTCCATCCATTATAAAAGCTACGTGACGCGGTATCGGGCCGCATTTCAACACATTTATACAGAATTTCTGACAATAAGTCAAAGAACTATCCACCACCCACGACATAGTTGTAATTTAGTTTAAACGGGTCGTGGAATAATGATGAAACCATCGGAAATCGTTTCCCTTATCTCGCCCATAACCTACAAAAACGTCACTGTCAGGTGGTTGATTACAGAAACCTGTAACAAGTTAACCAAAAATATAAGAGATGTCGCCAAAGTCTAATCTTATATTTTTGAATATAAACCCTGATATAAACGTTCAATACAGTTAAGTATAAGCAATAAATGCCTATAATATACAAACAAGGATATTTTTATTATATTTAAGTGTCAAACTGACATTCTAAATCGTTGGAACTAGGTTATGTATAATGTCAGACACCCAAAACAAGGGGCAACGTTCAGTGCCGAAAAAACAGCCCAAACAATCCAGCAAAGACCACATTTTCCGCAAAAGAAACCCACCTAAACCCGAACGAGACGATTCCGTAATCTACGTGAGCACCAAAACTCACATTAAGGTAAAATTTGAATTATAATAAAAGTTAGGTTATATTAAACGTCATTTTTTTGTAGGCCTTATTACAGAAGTGTAATAAGTTGATAGGGGAGAATGCGAGTGAAATTGTGATTTACTGTCTTGGGGCTGCCATACAGCGCGGTATTTTGCTGGCTTTGCAGATATGTGAGGAACATAGTGATTTCGAACTTCACACAAATACATTAACTACAGAACTGATTGGTTTGTTGTTTTAACAGTGTTTTGACATGTTTTTATTGTTTTATTACGTTTTTAGATGATTTAGAGCCGGCAGCAGACGATGCTGACTATGAAATACAGAAGAGATTCAACTCAGCTCTAAGAATTAAATTATCTCGTAAAGACTTACTGGAAACAAAAGAAAATAACTGATAACCATGTTTTTCACCATAGAAGAGTTGGTGAGGTGGTTGGGACTGACTGTATTTGAAATATGGGTGAATTTGATATCTGTATTAATATTCACAATACTTCTAGCCTTTAAATACGATCCCAACATAGAATTATACTCCAACGATTGGTGGTTAATTTTTTCACCATTATTCGCTGGCGACGCTTTTAATACATATTTTTGCGTTATTAAATGTATAAGAATGTTATTGGAGACAGCTTATAAGTTCTCTATTATGAGAATGTGCTGGTCAGCTACATTCTTATTAATGACATTTTTGTTTAAATTTTTATTGTGTAAAAAATTACTTGGGCAAGTCACTTTGGATTATTCTGAGGTTTTTGCCCCTTTGTTTTTATTACTACAGTTAATAGCAGTTAGGGCCTGCCAGCAGGGTTAATATTACAGTTATTTTGTATATTTTTTATTTAATAAACTTACTCTAAGTTAAAATTGTCTTATTTTAATTTATATTACTGTATATCATAACATATTTTTTTTTAAATATGCATATATATTATATATTTAATATGCATGTATATTATATACATATATATATTCATGAATACTAAAATATTCAAATATATATTCATGAATACTAAAATATTTGAAAAACCTAAATTAATAACTGTGTGGGGACTGGATTTCCCACTCTTGTCTGTCAGTACAATTTAAGTGATTTTTATAATAATTTTTATTTATTTTATTTTTATTGCTATGTATTTCGAATTATTATTAGTCAGTAATTATGTTTAAACTTTTCAGGTAGTAGGTTGTAAATAGTGTATTGCAGAGAGCGTGTGTTTGTTACCTGGAGCCTTGTAAAACATTGGAGTTTCCTTTCATCGGTAAACATCCTTTACGATTGCTTACTTACCTCTCCGGTTTCTTTACCGAAAGTAATTTATTTAATTTTATTTTTATTACCCTTTTATAGATGCGCTTGGTTTTTTCCAAATGTGTCCTACCTATCCCCTACCACGATTAGGGGTGGGTGGCCAAAGGGCTCTTGGAAAATGTCTTGGTCTATCACCAGACACAACGTACTGACTGCCCGTTTTGAGTACATCGGCTCCGGGTGACAACACATTTAAATTATAATTCTGTTTGTGTATATATGTGTATTGTATTGTATATTGTGTATATGTAGTGTAATAAAGTTAAGTTTGTAAATACCTCGCCGTCGATCAATTTGCACACAACTACCCGCACCAAAGCAGTCGCTAAAGTGGTGACCCCGACGTGATCTGTAAGTTTTTTTTATGTATTCGCAAAATTTTTTGTAAACTTAGTGACAATAATTGTGTTAAGTGGTGGACGACACGGGTAGTTTGTCGGTAGTGCGCGCGTGATTGTAGACCGATTAACAGCCGTTATAATAGTGTAGGTATAGACATTAAGCAAGTGTCAAGATGACCAACGTCGATCAAATGAAAGAAACCGCCACGAGCACGCTCACAATATCGAAACAACCACGTTTCCCGGAGTTCAATGCAGCCGATCCGGAATTATGGTTCTCGATTGCGGAGAGGTATTTTGAAGCGTTAGGTCTAAACGACAGCCGTAAACAATACCTGAGTGTGTTATCGGCCATACCAACACGTTACGCTAACGAGGTGCGCGATATCCTAATGCAACCATTAGGCGAGGAACCGTACAAAAATTTGAAGGAGAACCTCGTAAAACGGTTGAGTTCATCTCAGGACGAAAAGACGCGAGAGTTACTTGAAAACGTAGTAATGGGAGACGAGAAGCCATCGCAGTTTCTTCGTCGACTACAAGCTCTCGCAGGGACAGCAATACCGGACAACTTGCTGAGAACATTGTGGATGCGTGGCTTGCCGGAAAAGATAAAGCCTACGATGGTTACCGTGCAGGACAAGTCCATCACCGATATGGCTGAAGTTGCGGATACGGTATACGGGTTATTGCCACCACGCTCGACCGTCGCAGAGACATCAAAACCGCCATCAGCAGTAATGGCCGACGTGCAACAAGCAGTGCACGTGCAACAGCTTCGGTTCGAAATGGCCGAGATTAAAAAGCTACTCGGTGAAATTTACGAAGGTTCAAACTCCCGAGGAAGGTCTCGAACCCCTTACCGCGGACGCTCACAAAGCCGGTCCCGCTCCAGGTCAGAATCGCGCGGCCCGCGTCCAACTGGCATGTGTTGGTATCACTGGAATTTTGCAGAGAACGCACAGAAATGTACCAAGCCATGTAGTTGGACTCCGGAAAACGAGAGGGGCAGTCGTTAATGGCGGCCAACGACACCAGCCCGACAACATCTCGCCGTCTTTTTGTACGCGATCGCGAATCAAATGTCCGATTTTTAGTAGACACTGGTGCCGATCTGTGCGTATTCCCGCGTAAGTTTTATCAGGGGCCGTGTAGAAGGTCCAGCTACGAGCTTTCCGCAGCCAACGGTACACGCATCGCGACTTACGGCGTAACGACGCTCACCCTCAATCTGGGGCTGAGGCGGGACTTTTCATGGAACTTTTTAATCGCTGACGTTTCCAAGCCCATCATTGGAGCCGATTTTTTGTCGCACTATGGACTACTTCCCGATTTAAGAAGCGGGCGACTACTGGACTCCGTTACCAGGCTCGCTCTGCAAGGAGAGGTGACTGAGTGTGAAGCTCCCAGCATCAGGACCATCACCGGCGCCTCGCAGTACCATGATCTTTTACGGGAATTCACGTCAATAACGCGGCCTGACGGAGCTCCAAAAGCGGTCAAACACCAGACGAAGCACCACATCATCACGACACCGGGTCCTCCGGTAGCACTAAGACCGAGGCGCCTTGCTCCAGACAAACTCAAAGCAGCCAAGAAAGAATTCGAAGCAATGCTCCGACTTGGACTCGCCAGGCCCTCAGAAAGCCCGTGGGCAGCACCGCTGCACATGGTGCCGAAGAAAGGAGATGAGTGGCGACCTTGTGGTGATTACCGAGGTCTCAATGACCGGACACAACCGGATCAATACTCGGTGCGCCACATTCAAGACTTCTCCCAAATGTTAGAAGGAAAGATCATCTTTTCTACTGTCGACTTAGTACGTGCCTTCAACCAGATACCCGTAGCCGTAGAAGACATCCCCAAGACAGCCATTACGACACCGTTCGGACTGTACGAATTTCCATACATGACGTTTGGACTTCGTAACGCAGCCCAAACTTTTCAACGGTTTATCGACGAAGTTCTACGTGGCTTGGACTTCTGCTATGCATACATAGACGACATCCTGATCGCCTCCGAATCGCAAGAAGAACACTTGGAGCACCTCAGAGTACTTTTCGAGCGCCTCCACGAGTACGGCGTCGTCATCAACCCCGGTAAGTGTATATTTGGAGTATCTGAAGTCCAGTTTCTCGGCTATCTCGTTTCAGGTTCGGGAACTCAGCCATTACCAGACAAAGTCAACGTCATCCGGTCATTTCCTCAGCCTCAAAGTGTTAAGAAGCTACGGCAGTTTTTAGGAATGGTGAACTTCTATAGGAGGTTCATACCCAAGGCTGCAAACGCGCAGGCACCGCTCAACGATCTGCTACAAGGTAACGTCAAGGGCAGCACACCAGTCAAGTGGACACCAGAGGCAATCGCGGCGTTCGCGAAGTGTAAGGAGAGCTTAGCACGAGCTACCTTACTGGCACATCCAAAGACTGATGCACCCCTAGCCATCTTCACCGACGCATCGGACGTTGCAGTAGGCGCAGTGCTGCAACAGTGGTTAGACGGCAGGTGGCAGCCGCTGAATTTCTTTTCAAAGAAGCTGACAGTTCCAGAGCTCAAATATAGTGCATACGACCGAGAACTCCTGGCGATCTACATGGCAGTCAGACACTTTAGGCATATGGTCGAGGCTCGGCAGTTTGCGATCTTTACAGACCACAAGCCGATTACGTTTGCCTTTCGGTTGAAGTCTACACAGTGTTCACCACGCCAACAACGCCATCTAGACTTCATTGGACAATTTTCCACAGACATTCGTCATGTGTCGGGCCAGGATAATGTGGTGGCTGATGCATTGTCACGCATTGAAGAGCTGGAGTCAGCCATCAACTACAAGGCACTTGCAGAGTCTCAGAAGAGAGATCAAGAGCTTCTGAATCTGCAACAAGGCTTTTCATCCCTCAAGTTGAGATCGGTACAGATTCCAGGCACAACTGAGTTTATTACGTGCGATGTGTCAGCATCAGCGCCTCGACCGTATATTACAAAACCATTTCGGAAGGCGGCGTTTAACTCAGTTCACCAATTATCCCATCCCGGGGCAAACGCTACATGCAAGCTTGCGACCCAACGATACGTCTGGCCCTCAATTAAATCGGACTGTCGTCAGTGGGCACGAAGCTGCGTGGAATGTCAGCGATCGAAGATATCTCGCCATGTCTCAGCGCCAGTGGGCTCGTTTGCGCCACCATCAGCAAGACTCGACCACGTACACCTTGACCTGATCATCATGCCACACTGCGATGGGTATCGTTATTGTTTGACTATGATCGATAGATTCTCTCGCTGGCCCGAGGCCGTCCCACTTGTCAACCAGGAAGCAACCACTGTTGCAGAAGCATTTTTCAACCACTGGATAGCTCGTTTTGGCGTCCCGCTGCGAGTCACGACAGACCAAGGAAGACAATTCGAATCCAACCTGTTCAAGCATTTGAATCGCTTGACAGGTACGACTCACATACGGACAACCGCATACCACCCAGCATCCAACGGTATGGTCGAGCGCTTTCACCGTCAACTTAAAGCAGCCATCCGTTGTCATCAAAGCCGCTGGACAGAGGCGCTTCCAGCGGTGCTATTGGGGATCCGTTCGGCGTGGAAGGACGATATAAATGCCACCACTGCAGAAATGCTATATGGCCAACCGTTGCGACTTCCAGGAGAGCTGTTGACACCCCGAATTCGTGAGGACGACGACATCAACGCGGAGACTTTCGTTAAACAGCTGAGGCAGCGATTGCAGGACATAAGACCAGCAGTCATCAACCGTCATGGTGACAAGAAGATTTTTATCTTTAAAGACCTTGCAACAACGGGGCAAGTTTTCGTCCGCCACGACGGCCCTAAAAGACCTCTCCAACATCCATACGATGGGCCGTACCGAGTGGTTAGCCGTTCCGACAAGTTCTTCATAGTGAACGTCAAGGGCAAGAACATTACAATTTCAATTGATCGGCTAAAACCGGCATACACGATACTTGACAACATAGAACAACCCGAACAAGAGCCAGAACAACTTGGCGGATACGTTATTACCACAGCTCCGTTAAAGCCTGACCCACAACCCGAGCCACCAGCAGCGCTTATCGCACCAGACGTCCCACCAGCACGCGTCTCGGCTGGTTCGGGAAATACAACCACCAGAATTCATCGGCAGACGAGATCGGGCAGACAGGTTCGGTTTCCCGATCGCTTCCAATCCGGACTCTCGTGATCTTCATCACTGGCAGGGGAGTGATGTGGGGACTGGATTTCCCACTCTTGTCTGTCAGTACAATTTAAGTGATTTTTATAATAATTTTTATTTATTTTATTTTTATTGCTATGTATTTCGAATTATTATTAGTCAGTAATTATGTTTAAACTTTTCAGGTAGTAGGTTGTAAATAGTGTATTGCAGAGAGCGTGTGTTTGTTACCTGGAGCCTTGTAAAACATTGGAGTTTCCTTTCATCGGTAAACATCCTTTACGATTGCTTACTTACCTCTCCGGTTTCTTTACCGAAAGTATTTTATTTAATTTTATTTTTATTACCCTTTTATAGATGCGCTTGGTTTTTTCCAAATGTGTCCTACCTATCCCCTACCACGATTAGGGGTGGGTGGCCAAAGGGCTCTTGGAAAATGTCTTGGTCTATCACCAGACACAACGTACTGACTGCCCGTTTTGAGTACATCGGCTCCGGGTGACAACACATTTAAATTATAATTCTGTTTGTGTATATATGTGTATTGTATTGTATATTGTGTATATGTAGTGTAATAAAGTTAAGTTTGTAAATACCTCGCCGTCGATCAATTTGCACACAACTACCCGCACCAAAGCAGTCGCTAAAACTGCTAAGCCAATTGTGGTACATTTTTGAAACACACTGTATAAAAGATAATTATCTTAAGTAACTTAAATTTACTTATTAACGGCACGCTACTGTTTGCTTAAGTTCTTCACACTTAAATAGTGATTATTTTGGCCAATTTAATCGATTATCTAACGTACGTTAAAAGTGCGTAGAGAATGTTTAAATCGGTTTAATACCATGTAAATCTCTGATGTAAATTTATTTTTAGTGCTACAAGGCACCGTCTCGCATCTAAAGATGTTTGCAATCAAAAATAATTTACTTTTAATCGACAATAAAAGTAATTTGTGTCACAAAAATCGCGGCAGTGAGTTCAAATCTAGAGTGCCATGCTGAACTGTCAAATTATTTGACAAACAAAAGACGATCTACAGTACGCGCCAATTTAAAAAAATCTTCGTGAACTGATTTTTTGCATTTTTTGTATTAAAACTGTGCCGCTGTGAATAAAATGAATGAAAATCGTGTGCATTTACGAGTTTACGACCTTCTAGCAGTGCAAGCGACGGTGTGCGTTGCATAGCAAAGCGAAATTCTTCAGTGTTTTGTGTGGAAGTCGGTGGACGCGTTTCGATCTTGAGTATCTCCTTTATTTTCGTCGATCTCGCCTAAAATTAACACAATCCAACAGCAAAGTAAGTTGTAATTTAAAGTTTAGCGGGTACTTTTTAAGTTTGTGAAGTTTTTGGGGTGGATTTTAGCCTGCAGTTGGCAAAATGTTTGAATAATGAGAAAGTTAGGTTATGTTGTAATGTTTTGTTTTTAGTTTTTTGCCTTAAAATGACTTAAATTAGGTGAAATTATAATTGATTATGCCAATTTAGTGATCAATTTATTATATTTGATAACTTTATTTACCTATTTGTACTGGGAATAGCTATTTTAGACATGCATAAGGTCCTTATGGACATTGTTATTTTTAAACACATTTTACTACTTTCTTTGCTTAATATATACCTATCTATATGCATGCACAGGTATTATGATTAAAATGCTTATCGAACGATTATAAATAGTTTTTAAATGAGTATTTGCGATAACTTTTATAAAGTACCTAAGTATGTTCTCTACAAGACCACTAGAAACAGCCCAGAATTATAATTTTAAGTAAGTTGGACGATTTTTGACCGGGCAACGACCCACAAATAAAATTTTGCACGTTTCAATTTTTAATCAAAGCCAAGGTTTATTAATTAAATCAACCTACGTTTTTGTTTGATTTAAAAGCACAAAAACCAGATTGTGGCGGGTTGTTGACTTTTCAATTGTTTTATAGACGTTCTTTTGTCTAGCTGGCCGTGACAAAGCTGACAAAATCGCATCGGGGTGCTCGATTTTTGTGTAAATTAGGTTTTTTGTTTGCTTTAAGATGTTACGGGTCGAGAGTAACACGAAATTGGAGGGTTACACTGAATTTGAGGAGGATATTTTGTTCGACGACGACGATCCAGATTTCGACCACAACACTCCAATTCACAACGTGCCAATACTATTTAAAAGTAAGTATTTTTTTTGTTGAAACTAAACTTTTCAGATCAGTGACCTTGAACATTCTAAAATGACAATATTTGACATTAACCTAAAATAAAAAAAACATTTACAAACAAAAAGTTTCAAACGATTAAAAAATCCTTATCCCTGGATAACATAATGTTGTTTATTATTATAAAACAGTTGCTAACGGGCTATTTTTTAAGAAGCATGATATTAGCTTTTTGTTGTGTAATAAATGAAAAACAATTGTTTGCTCAATATAAACAAATTTATGCGCGATTAAGTACAAAATAATTTACGTAACTCGCGTAAAAGTAAAAAAAATATCACACGTCGTCTGTGAAGCCGTAGCCGTTGAGGTAGTTGCAGAAAAGGACGTCTTTCCCCAAGTCGTACTTTTCCAGCTTGTCGATGATCTGTTTGGCCTTGTTCGCGTATTTCTGCTCGCCTTTTTCCTTCGACAAATTGATCACGAGAGTCAAGTAATATTTCGCTCTGTAAAACATTTTTAATTTGACGCAAGACTCCCCTAACAAGTAGACGTTCGGTATGAAGCACCTAGTAAAAAAAAAATATTACAAATAAATAAAAAAATATCTGTAGGTAGGTAATCTAGATTTTTTGTTTAATATACAGTGTGACCCTGAACCGGGTGTCCAACTTTTTTATTATGCATTTTACGAAAAAAATGTGTTCTTCATAAAAACTCCTGCTTGGTTAAAAAATTACATTTCCTTAATTTTTTTTTTTAATAAAATGTACAGGGTGCTCAAAAATTACAAAAAAAAAACATAAAATGGTTAATATTTTAAAAAAAATTTAAAATTTAATTTTATCTATTAATTCACCTAGGCTGTAGCTCTTCGGCTTTCACCAAATACGCGTAGGCCTCCTCGTATGTGGCTTTAGGGGGCTCCTCGAAAAAATACTTCGCGATCGTTTTCTGCAACCAAGACAAGTTGGCCAATTCGTAGCACAGCTTGCCCAGCATGTAGTTAACGCAGAAATCGTTTGGGTTCAAATCGCAAGCTTTTTGAAGGTGTTCGCGAACCAAGGGGTAGGTTTTGATGCGAGATTCGAGACCTTCGATGCCAGAATTGTAGTTTGTCATTATGGCCAGCCATTTGTAGATGTTAGGGTTATCTTCTGCTGAAAATAGGGGTTTTAAAGTTATAACGCCTTAGAGCATACAACACATGGAGTTCTACAAAATGTGTAAAAACTTTTTTAAAATCTTTAAAAGGTCCTAAACTCTCTAGAGCTATTAAATTGCTGCCAAAATGCTATGGTAGTAAAAACCTTGGACAAGGGAAGTGAACCAAAAAATGGCGTCGTTTCGAGTTTTGTTTTTGCGTTTACAAAAATGGCGCCGATCGATAAAACAGCACGCTACCTTACCTTTTTAACTGTTTTTTAGTAAGTTTCGACATAACCTACAAATGTCCTTGAACTCTTTAATTCGACGCCATTTTTTGGTCAAAATTTGGCACATTTCCAACTGTGTGATAACTCCTCCACTCTCTTCCCTACTTTAAGGTCAAAACTGTAAAAATGCCTAAACAACTAAAAAAAGCGATAATGGGTTTAAAATTATCGTATTTTTTGTTTTCAGTAGGAATTATTCAAATTAAATATTAAAAAAACATCTATCAATAGCCAGGCTGGAATTCAAAATATCCTTTTCTATAAAAACAAATGTGTAAAAACTGTTTTAAAACATCTGAATAATTGTATTCTAAATATTTTAAAATCCTAAAATGTCCCAAACCCTCTAGAGCTATATAAATAGCTGCCAAATTGCTAGCAGTGAAAACCTTGGACAAGGGAGGTGTGAACCAAAAAATGGCGTCGCTTCAAAGTGTAATTTGCATAAAAAACTAATTAAAAATGGCGTCGATCGATAAAACAGCACGCTACCTTACCTTTTTAACTGTTTTTTAGTAAGTTTCGACATAACCTACAAATGTCCTTGAACTCTTTAATTCGACGCCATTTTTTGGTCAAAATTCGGCACATTTCCAACTGTGTGATACCTCCTCCACTCTCTTCCCTACTTTAAGGTCAAAACTTTAAAAATGTCTAAACATCTAAAAAAAAGCGATAATGGGTTTAAAATTGTCGTATTTTTTATTTTCTATGGGAATTATTCAAATTAAATATTAAAAAACATCTATCAATAGCCAGGCTGGAATTCAAAATATCCTTTTCTATATATAAAAACAAATGTGTAAAAACGGTTTTAAAACATCTGAATAATAGTATTCTAAATATTTTAAAATCTTAAAATGTCCCAAACCCTTTAGAGCTATATAAATAGCTGGCAAATTGCTAGCAGTGAAAACCTTGGACAAGGGAAGTGTGAACCAAAAAATGGCGTCGCTTCAAAGTGTAATTTGCATAAGAAACGAATTAAAAATGGCGCCGATCGATAAAACAGCACGCTACCTTACCTTTTTAACTGTTTTTTTAGCAAGTTTCGACATAACCTACAAATGTCCTTGAACTATTTAATTCGACGCCATTTTTTGGTCAAAATTTGGCACATTTCCAACTGTGTGATAACTCCTCCACTCTCTTCCCTACTCTAAGGTCAAAACTGTAAAAATGCCTAAACAACTAAAAAAAGCGATAATGGGTTTAAAATTGTCGTATTTTTTATTTTCTGTGGGAATTATTCAAATTAAATATTAAAAAACATCTATCAATAGCCAGGCTGGAATTCAAAATATCCTTTTCTATATATAAAAACAAATGTGTAAAAACGGTTTTAAAACATCTGAATAATAGTATTCTAAATATTTTAAAATCTTAAAATGTCCCAAACCCTTTAGAGCTATATAAATAGCTGGCAAATTGCTAGCAGTGAAAACCTTGGACAAGGGAAGTGTGAACCAAAAAATGGCGTCGCTTCAAAGTGTAATTTGCATAAAAAACGAATTAAAAATGGCGCCGATCGATAAAACAGCACGCTACCTTACCTTGTTTTTTGAGTAAGTTTCGACATAACCTACAAATGTGCTTGAGCTCTTTATTTCGACGCCATTTTATGGTCAAAATTTGGCACATTTCCAACTGTCTGATAAGTCCTCCACTCCTTCCCTACTTTAAGGTTAAACTGTTAAAAATGTCTAAACATGTAAAAAAGTGTTGATACCCAGGTATAAAATTGTCGTATTTTTTTATTTTCTATGGGAATTACCCAAATTGAATATTAAAAAACATCTACCGATAGCCAGGCTGGAATTCAAAATATCCATGGCTTCCTCCACGATATTTTGCCTGATGCTGTCGTTCATTTTTTCGCTGTCCAAAACAAAAAACAAACTCCTAGCTATCCGCCATTTAATGTCGATGTTCTTCTCGAATTTTTGCCTGTTCAAAAGCTCGTACACTTCTATGTACTTATTTTCATCGAAAAGTTTATCCGCCAAGGCGATGACTTCCTTTTCCTCCTGAAACATCCAGTATCTCAGGTAATGCGGGTCTTTGGGCTTTTCCAAAAAGGGTTGGAATAAATTGAGGGGGTTGAAAAATGTAAGCAGGTATATTTGGTTGGTTTTTTGGCTCAGGTTTTGTATAAAAATTCGGACCTTGAGAAAAAATATGAGGGTTAAGGTAAATTTTGACATTTTTGATTGTCATTTTTGACATATTATTTGCACTACCAACTTAAAATATTTAAGATATATAATTGGATAAATTTGCAATTTTTTTATCTTAATTTTTTTGTAAATTTAGATGACAAAAATCTTCTTATCGCCAAGGCCAGGATAACTGTTTCCACCAATGGTAAGTTTTTTTAACAAAAAAATCAATAATTAATTATATATAATATAATTATAGTTATCTTAGAAACTAGATAGGTAATTAAAATATAAAAACTTGACTTGACTGGCAGTTTTTTTATCTCTTTTTATGTAATAATCATAGTGAAGTTTATTGAACTTTTTTCTCTAATGTTCACAATTTATAATATTTTATGTCATCGCAACAGATTTCATAATTTAAATATAATTTTATCTACATTTTCCTAAAAATAAACTTATTTGTTATAAATCTATATTATAAATTAAGTAATAGGTCCAACTTATATACATGAAAGTCTAAAAATAAAGTTACTTTGAATTTTTAGTCATTCTATTAATATCACCCTTTATTTTATTTTTTCTATTTTTAAAATTAAATTTCAAAGCAACATTTTTCTATATTTAAATTTGGCAATATAAAATTTTAATAATTAAATTCCATTGTGTTTTAAAAATCATTATCTTAATATTAATTAATTAAATTATAATTTTTGTTTTGCAAAACAAAATTTGCTTGGTAACAGTCAGTATTCGCCTCCAATAAAACAATGAATAATTACGTAACTAGAGAAGTAGTGGGCAAACTAGTTATTTTTTTCTGTTACTTGACACGCCCCTGCGGAAACAATTGATTGATATACAGGGGGTATCTAAAAAATGCGTACAAACCAAGCGAAATTATTTACCTAATAAAATATTTGTTTTTAAAATTGGGTTTGTTCTTAAGTGTTTAAATTGCAAAATAAGTGTTAAAATAATAATATTAACTGTCAAAAAAGTCTTAAATTATTTAGAGTGGTGTGTATTTACGGGACACCCTGTATAAGCAGTTTTAAAAATAATTCATATTAAATGCCATACATTAACGCAAAAAAGTAAATGCAGCCTTGGTTAGCTTTCAAATGTGCAAGTTCAAGGCCCTGCATGATCCCCAGATCTGAATATCGTAGACTACGCGCACAGAGGGTCAAATGTTAAACCTGCACGGACAATTTTATATAAAATTTAATATCCAATCAATTTCGAACAATACATGTTGTGTTTTATCGGGCCAAAAAGTGGTTATCGCTTTCTATAATTAGAATTGAAATTAAATTTGTTAAATATAAATAATGTTACATCAGTTTATAATATAAACTTTATACATATTATAATAAACAAAAAGTCTTATCTTATCGAATAAGTCAATAAAAAATGCACTATTGATTTTGGTAACGCCATTTTGTATTGCGTACCTACATCACGAAACATCTGAGCATCGTGACGCCATTGACAAGACGGCGCACAATGGGACAAATGACAGACAAAAGTTTTAAACATTATATATTGTTTTAAATGTTTTGAGATACAAGTATTACCAGTGTTGTGAAGCGTCAAAATGCGGTGTTGCCGAAATGCAATGCAACGTTGCCATTTTTAGGAATAAAGACAACATATTTTGAAAAAATTTAAAATTTGTGGAAATTGTTTCGTAATATGCAATGCAATCAGGATATATGACTTATGTCGTGTTTTCAAGTGTAAAAAACACGATTTTAATTGGAAAAAGGCAAAGTTGTCAATATAGAAAATTATATTTATCTACTCCTACATTGACAATGTGTGGCTTTATGGCGTTTTAGTCACGGGCTCAAGTTAACAACAGTGGCTTTTGGGCATTTTAGTCACGGGCTGAAGTTAGCTTTATTATAAATTTCGAAAAAGTGAGGTTAAATTCGTCAGATGTCAAATATTTATGAATTACAATTGACTTTAAATTTGTATTTCTGTTCGTCGTAGATAAAGTATAGTATGCAACTCGTTTCATAAACTTCTTTAGACACTCGTTTTTATTAAACACTCGCTCGCAAGCTTCGCTCGTGCCTAATAAAACTCGTAACTAAAATGGCGTTTATAAAACTTGATACATAATATACTATTTTAAGGACAAAAAATCGTTTCGTAAACATTGTCAATGTTTTATTGCATTAGTATGACATATCAAGAGTGCAAAAATGCAATGTTGTGAAATTTAATGGCGACTTCGTCAAATATAAGGCAATGCTGCCATTTTCGGTTGGAGCCTTGTTGCCATTTAAAAACACGTTTTTATTAACATGTCAATATTTTTATCACTTTGGTTTGACAAGTGCAAAAATGCAATGTTATCAAATTTCATGGCGACGTTGCCAAATTTAAAGGCAATGCTGCCAGTTTCAGTTATTTTTTTGGTTTTTATCATATTTTTTTAGAGAATCTTTGCCATTTTTGACAGACGGTTGGAGCCATGTTGCCAAGTGTATTTAAAAACACGTTTTTCTTAACATGTCAATATTGTATCACTTTAGTTTGACTAGTCAAAAATGCAATGTTGTCAAATTTCAAGGCGACATTGTCAAATTTAAAGGCGACGTTGCCAAATTTTCAGTTATTTTTTTGGTTTTTATCATATTTTTGTCCATGGTTTTAATAGACCATCTTTGCCATTTTGACAGGTGGTTGGAGCCATGTTGCCAAGTGTATTAACAAGCACGTTTTTCTTAACATGTCATTATTTTTATCACTTTAGTTTGACAAGTGCAAAAATGCAATGTTGAAAAGTTTCAAGGCGACGTTGTCAAACTTAAAGGCGACGTTGTCAAATTTAATGCCAAATTCTCAGTTATTTTTTTGGTTTTTATCATATTTTTGTCTATGGTTTTAATAGACAATCTTTGCCATTTTGACAGATGGTTGGAGCCATGTTGCCAAGTGTATTTAAAAACACGTATTTCTTAACATATCAATATTGTATCACTTTAGTTTGACAAGTGCAAAAAAGCAATGTTGCCAAATTTCAAGGCTACTTTGTCAAATTTAAAGGCGAAGTTGCCAATTTAGGGACATTGCTGCCATTTTCAGTTATTTTTTTGGTTTTTATCATAATTCTGTCTATGGTTTTAATAGACAATCTTTTTTTAATCAATTTTGACAGATGTTTGGAGCCATGTTGCCAAGTACTGTCTGTCCACTCTAAGTTGGCGGAACTAAGGAATTTTGTAGTTTAGATATTAAAGAATTGTCGTACTGTGTGCTTTTAAAACAGATTTTATATTATAAATAATACTAGTACATATTATATACTAGTATTATTTATAATATAAAATCTGTTTTAAAAGCACACAGTACGACAATTCTTTAATATCTAAACAACAAAATTCCTTAGTTCAGCCAACTTAGAGTGGACAGACAGTATATTAACAAGCACGTTTTTTTAACATGTCAACATTTTTATCAATTTAGTTTGACAACTGCAAAAATGCAATGTTGACAAATTTCAAGGCGACGTTGTCAAATTTTAAGGCGACGTTGTCAAATTTAGGGACAATGCTGCCATTTTCAGTTATTTTTTTGGTTTTTTATCATATTTTTGTCCATGGTTTTAATAGACAATCTTTGTTATTTTGACAGATGGTTGGAGCCATGTTGCCAAGTGTATTAACAAGCACGTTTTTTTAACATGTCAATATTTTTATCACTTTAGTTTGACAAGTGCAAAAATGCAATGTTGACAAATTTCAAGGCGACGTTGTTAAACTTAAAGGCGACGTTGCCAAATTTAAAGCCAATGTTACCATTTTTTTAGAAAAAAATAAATTTTCAATTTTGACTTGTTTTGGGCTATTGTGCGTAGAGTCAGGACCTAGACCAAGAGCGTATTGCGAAAGCGCCGTGAAAATCGATTTTCTCGTCCTAAGTGACGTCGAATCGCCCTGGTTTAGTCCTGGTTGATCCTTGCTCGAGGTTATTGGTCCTGTGAGTTATTCGGGTATTTCCTTCTGCGCAATTAAATTTATCGTAAGTTGATTATTTTCCCTTGTAACAAAAGGTTTATTATAAAATTGTTGTCGCTTGTGTGCGATGGAAAATTTTCGCACCAGAATTACATTAAGTAATACGATACTTTAACGGTTAATAATTGCATATGTGTAATATTCTTATCCTGATTTATAAATACAACTTTTTTACCATAAGATTGTTAATATTTATAAAAGTTTGCATTTTTTGGTTATAGGTTTCTTTACAAACAAAAACTGTATATATTGTTACCTAATAATTATTTGAAATGCACGATTCGTAGTAAAGCGTAATTTGGGTTGCATATGTTTTGCACAACAATTTTATAATCATTACTTGTGCGTTATTTTTTATTGAATTATGAAAATATAACGTATATTGCTTTATTATTCGTTATCAATATGTTTTTTAATCATTAAACGCAAAATGTTTTCTAGAATATAATAATAGCATTTAAAATAGGGTTTTAGGGTAATTATTATAAAATGATAATTATAATAATTATATTTATCCAGGTGTTAATCGAAATATTTAATGTTTTAATTAATTTATTAAAAATGATTAATTTTTTTAAAATTATTTTAGAAACCATCCAATATATTGCCGTTGATAATGTCTGAAAACTATTATATAACCTTAAAATTGTCATAAATATAAAAAATGTCTGTTTAAACACATTTTAATTTTAAACTATTTTAAAATTTCTAACAACTGCCTTAAATATCCTAGTTCTAAAATTTTAAAAATTAAGAGACAAATTTTAACTACTTTATGTCTTAATCTATCTAAAGTTTTTAAAATATCTGAAACTGTCTAAAATTATCGTAAATTCTAAAAACAATTTTAATTTTTCTTTAAGAATGTGTCAAAATCTAAAATTTATAAAATCTAAAATGTCTGAAACCCGTTTAAAAAAATGTAAAATGTCCCAAAAATGTCAAATATATCAAAATAAATGTTTAAAAAGGTTTCAAAACTGTCAAAAAGTTCTAAAATTCTAAAAATTACCCAAAAATGGTTAAAAAATATAAATGTCTGAAAATGTTTAAAAACTGTCAAAAGTACTAAAATTACCCAAAAATGTTTCATAAACTCAAAATAAATCTCTGAAACTGTCAAAATAGTGCTAGAATTCTAAAAATGTTTCAAAAACTTAAAAGAATGTATGAAAATTTTTAAAAATAAAAAAGTACTAAAATTCTAAAAATGATCAAAATTAAAAAAAAACTCAAAGGAAACGTCTGAAAATGTTTAAAAACTGTCAAAATATGACTAGAATTCTAAAAATATCCCAATAATGTTTCAAAATTTTAATAGAATGTCTAAAAATGTTTAAAAACAAAAAAGTACTAAAATTCTAAAAATGAACATAAATGTTCCAAAGAAATGTCCAAAAATTTTAAATTTAAACCAAAAATGTTTTAAAATCCCAAAAGAAATGTATAAAAATGTTATAAGGGCGTTTCTCTGTAAACTGGGCAACTTGAAGTAAGAAATTGTCTAGGCAAGTTTTTTTGTTATATTTTTGTTGTATTTAATAAATGTTATTCGAGGAATAAATATCGGTCTATTTATTAGTATATGGCAGATCTACCAAAAATATTCCTATTACTTTGGAAAACATTGAGCATTTCCTGAAAAATCTATACAGGGGACTGTTTATAAAATCCGGAGACAAAGTTTAGATGACTTTTTTAGAATTACAAAATAATAATTATAAAAAATAAATAAGTCACAGTAACAAGCAAACAATATTGGTTGAATAATTAAACAATTAGGTTGATTCCAATAGTTACTGTCTTTAATTAATTTAGTCTGAAGTGACCATTTTGCTTTGGTGACACGTCAGGGGACTGGTTTTTAAGGACTATAAAAACAATTTTGATACATTAAAGTTTATTTTATTGGATTTTGAACGTCGAGCATAGGTAGATTAGGTTATTATCTTTTGAAGTTATCTACGAAATATTTATGATCTGTTATTTTTCTAAACAATATTAGCTTGAGACAATGAGTTGCCCAGTTTACAGAGAAACGCCCATAAAACTGTCAAAAAAGTACTTACATTTTAAAAATAAGTCAAAAATGTTTGAAAAACTAAATGAATATGTGTAAAAACAAAAAATTAGGGACTATAAATAAATTGTTTCAAAAACTGTCAAAAAAGTACTAAAACTGTCAAAAAAGTACTAAAACTATCAAAAAAGTACTGAACGAACACGTTCAATTCGGCGTTATTTTTACCTTTACTTATTTTTATTATATAATGATACGTTTTTATTTTCATGTGTAGTGCAATAAAACACTGTCAATTTAATGTGTTTTATAAAACAATATTTACAATATTTAGATACTATAAACAAAATGTTACCAAGAGGAAATGCGACGTATACAAGTTTCTTGGTGCTTTCAAAGACCACACAAGAAACGGAGAACTGCGTCATATTTTTTCTTATATTTAAAAAGGGCTGACTACTCAGTTTTCTTTGTAAGAGTGGCAGTCTGCTCTTGTTATTTTCAATCAGTTATTCATTAGCATTTAACCGAGTATCATCTCTGTATTAAAATAAATACATCTAATTTTATTAAGTTGTGTTTATTGAACAACGTTCCTGTTGCACCAAAATTCAGTCAACAAAATTCGCTTACGGAAAATGTTTTCATGGATTAGTTTTCAAGGAAACGTACTTAAGCTCAGTACATAAAAATTGGTCCTTCGAACCGGATATAAACCAGTGACCTGTGAACTACGCAACAACATTTTAGTTCCACAAAATTAGTGTAACCGCACTAATTATCAACAAAACGAGGCGTCTCGATTCCTTGCTGTCAAGGGCAATACGGTAGCCAGATACACCAGATGACACATCAACAACACATCTTATCTTCAAACTGGAAGTGCAACATAGTTAAGTGTAAAGTGTGTGTTGATGTATGCGTGAAGTGCAGTTATCGGTTTTACGAAAAACCGGCTACTTCGTCAATGCGTTTTTATAGGTGCTGATTAGCAATATTTATAATAATATCAGTCACGCATTAAATTAACGATACGAAATTCTTATATTGCAATCAAAAGCAAACCTATACACACGAAACAAATTATACAATATACAAAAAGTGGTACCACTAAAAAGCTACGTGACTGCAGTCATGCATCATGATACGTATAATATAATATCAATCTAATATATTATATACGTTTAATATAATATCAATCTAATATATTATATTACTTGTGCACAAGATTATTCACGATACAATATTCGATTATTCACTATACAATATTCGATTATTCACGATACAATATTCGATTAATTACGATACGATATTCGATAATTAATCGAAATACATGCAAATACAAGCTACCTTGTCTACCAAGGCAATTATTCGTCGATTCGATATTCGATAATTAATCGAAATACATGCAAATACAAGCTACCTTGTCTACCAAGGCAATTATTCGTCGATTCGATATTCGATAATTAATCGAAATACATGCAAATACAAGCTACCTTGTCTACCAAGGCAATTATTCGTCGATTCGATATTCGATAATTAATCGAAATACATGCAAATACTCGTACAAGCTACCTTGTCTACCAAGGCAATTATTCATTTTTAACAGCTCACAAACCAGCTGATCCAAGAAGCAGCGTCTGCAACACAATTTGAAGACTACAATCATCAATCGGTAAGTGCTTTTTTAATTGAGTCACCAAAAACACATTTACATTTACACATCTGAATACACTTCTATTGCAATCTTAAAATTAATCTTTTAATTCAAAATGACCGAAATCGAACTAAGACTAAGATTACTCAAAATAAAACGTAATTCAATTAAAGATGAAATAAATCATTTACACTATTATCTAGAAAATTATAATAAAGACACACAATTCGTTGAGTTGCAAATACGCCAAAAAAGACTTGTTACTAACTTCGGAAATTTTGATCAAATTTGTGACGAAATTACTTTAATAGAAGATAACGCAGATAATTCAACCGAGAAAAATGACATTTTGAACGATTATTTCGCTATATTGAGTAAAATTCAAGAGCTTATTTCCGGACCCTTAATGCAAAATAATTCAGACTTGATTAGCGTTCACTCGGTAAACGGATCGAGTAACTCTTTAAATTCACGGAAACGCAAACTCAAGTTACCACATGCAAAAATTCCAAACTTTTCGGGTGATCGTAGCAAATGGCTTTATTTTAAAAATACTTTTATTTCGCTAATTCACGATGACGAAGAATTATCCGACAAGGATAAGTTCGCGTTACTGCAAACCGCGTGCTCGGGCGATGCTGAAAAAAAGATAATAGGTTTTCTAAATGCGGAAACCGATTATAATGATGCGTGGAAGACACTAGTTAAGGCCTATGAAAGTAAACGCTCGTTGATCGCGGAGCATTTATCAAAAATACTTAATATGCCTAAGCAAGATTGCAATGATCACAAAAGTCTGGAAAATCTTGTAGACACAGCGCGAGTGAGCATAATGGCGTTAGAAAACTTAGGTGTTAAATTATCAACCTGTCCGGAGATAGTCGTAAAAATAATCGAAGACAAGCTATCTCAGGAAACTCGCGAAAATTGGGACAAGGAATGCGAGCGCGATAAATTTCCAACTCTTGAAAAAATGCACGATTTTTTGTATAAAACCGCCGCTATGATATCAATGCGAAAACATAAGTTCTCCTCGAATAAAATCAATTATCACGATTTGCCGAATAAAACAAGAAAGATCGAATATAAACAGTCTGCTACAACCTTTGTCACAACCGCAAAAATATGTCCAGCTTGCTCTAATGGATATCACCCATTGTATAAATGCAGTAAATTTCTAGAGTCGACTGTTTATAACCGAATAAAAATTGCAGAACGGGCAAAGTTATGCAAAAATTGTTTGAGACATCATGGTCAGAGCGAGTGTCAGTTTGGAGGCTGCAAAACTTGCGGTAAAAAACACAACAACTTGCTTCACATACAAAAATCTTATACTTTACAGGACAGTCCGTCTGACAAAAGAACAGAAAACCCCCAAAACGCTTGACTAAATGATCAATGCTTGTCAATAACAAAAAATTTAAACTTATTTAATTTGATAACTAGCACTCGAGTCATAACATAAAATAATTTTAACAAACCTCACACATGCATAACTTTATTACGGCAATTTTAGCTCATAAACTTAATTTAAATAAAAAATCATGTTCACTTAAATACAATTTGTATTATACAACTGCTTATTATTACACTTAATTAACTTATCAATCCATATATTCAGAATTTAAAGAATCTTTAACATTTTTATTGTACCAAAAATTACCGATGCATGCAACTCCAAACGACACGGTTCAAACTAAAATTAACGAATTTTAAAAACAGCACCGGTTGACTTGTTAATCGGGGCTGGACCATCACTTTCCTTATTTTGCACAGGTCAGATTAAACTACCGGAAAATAATTTAATATTTCAAAAAACTAAACTTGGTTGGTAATAAGCGGCGGTGTAACTACAATTAATAGCAGTAAGCATTCTACATGTATGCTGACGGAATTGCAATTTAACTTAGAAAAATTTTGGACGATTGAAGAATTACCGTTTGATAAACAATTAAAGTTTTCCAAAGCAGAAATAGAATGTGAAAATCACTTTAAGTCACAGTTAACCGAAATAGTGATGACAGACATGTCTTCGCGCTGCCTTTTAGATAAACAGTCACTAATTTAGGCGAAGCTAAAACTATTGCACTTAAAAAATTGACATATTTAAAAAGAACAAAAACTTGGAGGCTAAATACATTAAAAACTTTAACCTTAACAAGGGCCTTTGTCTCCAATTCAAATTAAAGCTTTTAAAATTAATTCGGGTTTTTATTTAAGCCATCACGTTCTAGTAACAGAATCAAGGCCATTCCGCAAGGTAGTATTTGACTTTGAGGGACCCTTTTTCATTAAAGAGAAAAGGCGTCAAAACACAAGTTTTATTTAATGTTATGTCGCAATGTTTGTAGGTATGACATTTAAAGCAGCACATATAAAAATTGCAAACGATTTGACAACCGAATCTTTTTAGCTGCTTTAATTCGTTTTACTTCTAGACGAAGACAATTATTCTGACAACGAAACTAAATTTCGAGGCGCGAATACTAAACTCAACGAATTTGAAGTTTTACGAAACAAAAAACTTAAAGCTGAGGTCAAAAAATTTGCAAGCAAACATAATGTACAATGGCATTTTGTTCCTCCGCATGCACCTAATTTCGGCGGTTTATGTGAAATTATGGTTAAGCAATTCAAACACAATTTTAAAAACCTTTACAACACAAATAGAAGCGATTCCCAATTCGAGACCTTTAACACAAATGTCCACCGATTTAAATGATTACACAACACTCACACCCGGACATTTTTTGATTGGTGACTCATTAAAAAGCCTACCTATACTGTATACACAATCATCGACAAGTACCAATAAACCGCTTAAGTTCGTGGGAAAACATCAATAAATTAATACAAGAATTTTGATATATAATAAATGACACAATGAATATTTGACTAATTTAAATATACGTTATAATAAACAATCGAAAGGAATTAGATTTAAAAGTAGGTGTATTGGTACTAGTCAAAGATAATTTACAAAGCATGCAATGGAACTTAGGACGAATAGAAGAAGTACATCTACTAAGAGCGGCCACAGTACATACCAAAACTAGTATTTTCAAAAGGCCCTCTTCAAAATTAGCGATCCTTCCGATCTAAAGTCAATAATGTTTTATTTTTCCTCGTTAACCAAATATTGTAAAATCAATTAAATTTAAACATTGTGCAATGTTAATACACAACGACATTAATGTTATGTTACTTAAACTTATTACTATTATGTTACTTAAACTTATTTATATTTTGTTACTTAAACCTATTAATAGTATGTTACTTAAACTTGATCGTTACTCTCTCAAGGGGGGGAGTATGAACGAACACGTTCAATTCGGCGTTATTTTTACCTTTACTTATTTTTATTATATAATGATACGTTTTTATTTTCATGTGTAGTGCAATAAAACACTGTCAATTTAATGTGTTTTATAAAACAATATTTACAATATTTAGATACTATAAACAAAATGTTACCAAGAGGAAATGCGACGTATACAAGTTTCTTGGTGCTTTCAAAGACCACACAAGAAACGGAGAACTGCGTCATATTTTTTCTTATATTTAAAAAGGGCTGACTACTCAGTTTTCTTTGTAAGAGTGGCAGTCTGCTCTTGTTATTTTCAATCAGTTATTCATTAGCATTTAACCGAGTATCATCTCTGTATTAAAATAAATACATCTAATTTTATTAAGTTGTGTTTATTGAACAACGTTCCTGTTGCACCAAAATTCAGTCAACAAAATTCGCTTACGGAAAATGTTTTCATGGAT